ATCTGTCGTAAATTATGTAATTATGGAAAAGCTATACATGAAATTTGGGGAAAAGGAATGAAACTTTTGTAGTGCATTTGGATATACGGATAGCCATTCCAATAGAATGAAAATTGTTTAGTGTTATTTTAGCTACGTGATAGTGTGTGATATGGTGAATTTATTAATGATACAATATTAATTCTATAAACACTTGACAAGAACGTATCGTAAATCACATAAGAAGCGTTTCATAATTGCAAACACTTTCAGATTTCATTCTGTAATTCAAAGCATCCTATTATGTAGCAATCTCGTTATAGCAGCTAGTATTTTGAAATTGAAGATAGTTTATTAAATAGCTACATCTTCTTTTCCGATCGTAGATGTCAACAAAGGAACGAGCACAATGTAGATTTATAAATTAATTGTATTACAGTTGATAAGCTTGCAATCACAATATAAGTTTGCTTATTCAAACGGATAGAATATTTCATTTAAATAGTAAAGTGTGGATATTATACGGCTACTTTCAATATAGTAACATCGATATGACCTATATTAGAATGAAATAGTAATTATTTCATTCATAATATCATTTCAATCATATAAAAATCGTATTTATTGCTAAAATAAAGCAACGTTTCAACACAATATTGCAGTTTGCAGAATTTTTTTATTGTAAAGGACAATTACTACAGCATAAAATCACATAAGGTTGATTTACATCCGAGCTTGTCATTTATTAGTAACTATTTAAGTCTTGTAGTTATCATCAATCAAATTAGAAAGAGTAGATTCGATAGTCAAGGTTATAATCTGCGCTGACCATTCAGCTTAATGTTGTAGATAAGCTCTGAAAAATACCTATCACTCCCTGTTTAGGGTATACCTGCTGTAGATTCCAACAGTAAATGTCGAACTCTTTTCTTGCAATCTTAGTGTAGTTAACTATATTAATAATACGTGTTAGTCCATTTTTAAGGACTATCCATGTTTACATGTAATAGATAGCAGTTCACGCTACTTCACTTCAAGGTAAAAGAAGAATTATCGAACTTAAAGGTTTAGGTTAACACGAGTATTTTAGTGTGTCTCATCCACCGCTTGATGAAATATGTGTTTATAGCATAGCTATAACTTCATGAAGGCAAAGTCTGACTAAGTTAGATCACAATATATACCGTGACAGCGTCTGGGAAGGTGTACAGAATCGAATACCATCAAAATAAGTTTTAATCAGAATCATCTAAACAAGATCTAAACAGGAAGATACAATTAATTATTGTAGATTAGGCAGTAATATTTGTTGCATTTATGTAGTGTGACGTTGATAACTTCTCGTTATATAAAAAATTAATTCTTTCCCTGGGTCTGCTACTTTCACGGTAAGCTTACCCCAGTCTACAACGAATAAATGTAGTTTCTTAAGTAAAATAGTTATATCATAGTTGAAATATAGCGATTGAGGTCTCAAGTTAACGTAGTCTAAAGCATAACTAAAACGCAGATTAAATTTTCTTCACGCTGTCAAGACCTGATAAAATTACCTTCTATCTGCCTGTCACAACTACGTTTTTGTGACACAGGATCTCTACTTATCGTGTAAAACTTAGCTAAGTACGGTACAATCCCGACACTGAACAAGTGCTACTGGAACTACGCTTCCTATTAGAACACTAACTTCTCGGGTGTGGGACTACACTTCTTTGACCGTCACTAGGTTACTCGATTACACAAGTAGTTGAGCGTAGGCTTTTGAACAGATAACTATCACTACAGTTTATTCTTTTCTATGCCTTTCTCCTCGTCCACATGGCATCATAGTTAGCCTTTATATACTTTCTAAGATATTTACTATTTACATTAATCTCACGTAGGAGATCTCACAACCATAACCTCCTATCCAGTAATAATCTTACAACACGACTACAAATCGTGTCAGCATAAACAACTCTCTAACACAAAGGTTGCACATCATCAAGATTTATATTTATCTAGTCTATCCTCCTATTCGAATACATACAAAATAACTAAGGACAGTTGATCATCAAAACACCTTACTAACAAACATCATAACACATCAATTTCCATCAATAACAAACACCATAACACTTCAATTTCTATCTATAACAAACACCATAACACTTCTAACTCATCACGGCAAAAAGGTACCGTGACACTGCCTTATTTCTATACCTAGGCTTTTAGTAATAATTTTATACTAACCACCAATTTAACTTTTACTATTATTAATTCTAATTGCACTATCTTTGGCACTATTTGGCCCGTCGTGATCAATATCTTACTATTTATAGGTTCAAAGTTTATTATGCAGTCAGTGGAAGCTATTTCCTGCACATTATCACTAGATCTGCAGTCTGAATTAGATTGAATAAATAGATAATACAGGCTGCTTGTTTTGGAATTGATATAAAGACTGGTAAAAAATCTAGTGTTGTAGTGTCTACTTAATTGATTAAATTATTGACTGAAAAGTTCTACAGTAGATTAGAAATTCTATGTTGACTCGTTTAAGGATTTCTTCATAAAGTTATAACTGGAAATAGGAAATTTCTTACATACTTATCAATTTATTGCGACTTCAATACGATATCCACACGAGTTGCTAATGTTAAACATTAAGGCTAATACTTCAGGACATAATAGTTGATCAAGGTACTGATTAAAGTGTCAGCAATATCTTAAGCAGCGATTGATCACATTTCAGTCAACATATTGTTGGATTCAATATAAATCGGTATTTGCTCACTTCGGGTATAAAATAGGATTTTTTAAGCATCATGATTGATAGCTTATTTCAGATTCGATGTAAATTATATTTATAAGATTGTCAGAACTACAATATTATAGATATGTTGACAGATATATTATATTTATGTATGAAGATCAGTATTTTCAGAGCTGAGTGATATCAACATATTCTTCCTATATCTGAATTTATAAGGCGCAAAATTATCAGAAGAAAGTTATCACACCGTTATTTCGCTATAGTTGGCAATATAGAATAAAATAACTGTATAAAATACGATTACTTCTAGAAATAGGGCTAAGCCAAGAAATTCTTTTAGAGTGCAATTGTAATTATTTATTGTTTTTCTCATATGCGAATGTATTTACACTAGAATAAGAATTAAATGAAATTGCAATATACAAATCCGTAGGGATGATTGATTATAAATTATACACTTTAATATTCCAGGGAATCTAAAAGACCAAGACAATCAATTTACTAGAAGATACCAGTAATATAAAGGACCCTAGATCGAGAAATGAGATATTCCAATAAAATAAATCTAAGTAAAAATTATTTAATTGCTTTCATTACATTTTTTTAATACTGTAGATGGTATTATTCTAAATTATTCTAAAAGTATTTGAAATCAGAAAGATAGCAAGGTATGCATAGACAAAATTAATACAGTAGGCGTGAAAAGTAAGATTGTCGCTATTTTAAGCTGTATTAACGGCATTGGCTGAGCTATTTTCTTCTATAAGGCCCTATTGCTGCCTAATAGCTTCTGGTGATATTAATTCTATTTCATAAGAACAATATTTTACTATTTATAAACAATAAAAATGAATTGGACAGGAACAAATTAGCAATTTACAAGTCTTGTATTGCCATTTTAAGTTAAATAAACATTTTTGATTATATTCATGAATAATATTCGAGCATGCCATTGTTAATAGTAAACACAAGAAACGTTTTAACATCAAGCTTATTACTAATATGACTAAGAGCAACAAACTAAATCTATCCTTAGTTATACACTAGTACTTCTGAAACCTATTAGTGTAATTAAATTAAATTAGATTGCGCAGTATGAAAAAAGATCACTCGTAATTTAGGCAGGCTAATAGTACGATATAAAAGGCAAGTATTGAATTAAAAAGATATAATCTAATTCAGGTACCCTAGTATTTGCTACCATTATGAATTAATCAAATATGATAATTCATTTCGATGCATTCTTATTATTTTTCATGCGAAAAATTGTTACTTTAAATACCATAATCTAATTTACCTGTAAGGGTATTAAGTGACCGTAGATGGTACGAATTAGAATTGATGTGAAAGGAATTTTCTATGAGCACCTAGGTACTAACATCGTTCATCGTGATTTTGTTTTCTGTTAAGAATATTGATATTAATTGCTGTCGGGGATGAACAGTGGTATGTCTGTTAAATGTTGGTTTATAGTACGCTCACAAGAATAAACAAAATTAATTCGACTTTATTCAAGGTACAGTATACGCATTCCACTTTACTTCATATCTAGTAGAAAGAGGCGGTATAATGCCATATGGTTTCGTTGCTTCTACCCACAGAATAATGACGATAAAGATGCTGATGATAAAGATTATTTAAACTACCATACCGGTCTTATAGTAAACAAATAGTCTATTCCTTTTAAGGCGCGGTAGTTTTCCTTTTACATAGCAATAAATATACGTATTAGTAATTAGTACCATCATTTTTTATCGTGAAAATTAGGCCTACGATTGTGATTGTGAGAATATTCTGAAGTTCAACATTAACCAAAATGAAAATCTTGCTAATAATTTGCATTGCTAGCTGCTGTATCTTCTCTAGCAGTGCTAACGTTAATTATCAGTACTATTCTGAGCAATGCCAATTATCCATTCCAAGTCATCTATACAAGAATTTTCAAGCTATAACAACGCATTCTTCAACGAAAGTGATGTACCTTGATGTAGTTAATGCATCTAACCAACCTCTATACCCTCCAGACGAAAATGTTAAATTAGCATGGATCAAGCTTGATTTTGGCCAAAGCTTAATGATTCTACCTGTCGATTTTACAGTTATGTCAGCTTTTCTGCCTTATTTTTTCTTTAATAGAATGACATTGGTTATGGCTGAAAAACCGAACAATTGTTTCTCCGATTTACCTGATGAAGTTCGTGATACACTTGTCTTTACGGCATTGAGGAAATTTGCTCATATTAATTTAAATTGTATCGGTAGCAACTGCGAAACTATATGCAAACGAATTATTGATCCTTCGACACCACTTGACGATATTACATTCTCATGTTGCCGGATGGTTAACTTTACCGAAGTCTGTCGAATCCCTTACAAGACTTCATCATCAATCATAGCCTTCCGTTACGTCTCTATCGTCTTAAGTATAATGTTGTCAGCTGCTTTGATCAAATGGTTACTTCGAGATGTACCAGAAATTGAAGCGTAAGCCTATTTTAAACTATCTAGCTATAATTGCTTCTCTATATTCATACTTAGCTAATGTAAGAAAGGAAATATTATACCATATTGTACTTTAGCATGCATGTAAAAATAACGCAAAAGCTATATTAAAAAGCGTTGTATAAAACATACTTTGTCGACTAAGGGCAGTAGTTGTAAGTACTACAAGTAAAAAAGGCAAAGGCTGCAATAAGCGAGTTAGCAACAGCTATAGACGCAAAATAGTGAATAATTTAAAAATCTATCAGTGAATAGATTCAAACGATTAATCACCCAAATTAGTCGTGAGTACCTTACATAAACAAAGTTGTAGATTTTTAGAGTATTTTAATGAGATTTTAGGCTTTCAATTTTCTATCCTCTATTCCATATAAATAGCCAGATACAATGAATAAATTGATAAGACACCGATTCTATTTCGATCTACTTAAAGCACTGTAAAGTCGATGAAATCATCACCATTCACTATAAATGTGTCAGTTACTATGTTCATACTCAAATAGTAAACCTACTGCTATTGGCTAATAGATTATAGAGGTTTGCAGAATAAATTGAGAAGACATATGGGTAGCGTACATTTACTTATCTACTTACAAATCTATATAACTATACAACCCATAGTAGAAATTAAGTTAAAATGTTAAAGTTAAACTTCTAGCAAGACAACAGTATCTCACTAAGATAGTGATGGAAAGCAACTATATTTACAAAATATAGGATATCGATAAATATACTCGGCTAACGAAAATTACCGCATACATAAGACTGTTATTCTGGCCTAGTGCTATTACAGCTAAAAAATTCTTATGTTTTTAATCCGCTGTTTATAGGACTCATCAAATTGAAACACCAAAAGGGTACGATTATATTGATGTGCGACTTGTATCCAATTATAAATCTGAAGATTCTGGTGAAGGCTTTAAACGGTTGTTACATGGATCAGTAATTTCTTCAACTTTATGGCTACGATGTCTGGATCTGTTTGTTCTAGTTATAGTCGGTTGTGGAATATCAGTTTGGGTACAGACTTTCCCATACTTTTTAGTGCCCTACCCTACCATATATGATACACCTTTCCCCTGGCCTATTGTTCTATCATTTCTTACTTTCGCTGGTGTTTATGCTTTATTGACAATTATTATTATTTTGCCGATATTCCACTGCGGTAAAAAAGAATTTGAAAATTCTCTTCGGTACAAGAATCAAAGTGTCATTAAATATTCAGAAAAAGAGTATGCTTTTCGATTATTATGGTATATGGATAAATTATTTAGTTACATAGCCCATTTGGTAACTGGAAATATTTTTGATCTTCATCTATGGTGGAAAATAGTTTCCACGCTTATTATAGCCATTCTATGTAGCCCCTTTGCTCTTATTGACAAACTATCGCTACAATATTATGCCTTTCGAAAAGCTGATATTTTTACTTGTATACTATGTGATCGATTTCATTGTAGCGGATATAAACTAAGTCATCCTAAGGCGCTATTAAAGGCAATTATATATATTATATCCGTTGGATATTGTGTCATTTCTGTGATTGGAATATGGGCTTCCATACAAGTTTTCGTTCGAATTTTAATTACATCAACTGCATTTATAATGTCGCATAGTAATTTTTTCTCATCTTACTTAGCCATCGGTTTCCCCTTTATTTATTTTATCAAGCAAGTATTTGAGTCCTATTCCGCAGAAAAAATGACTCTATCTCAAATTATATTTGAAGTGCGAGAAGATGTAGAAAATGAAATCGACGAGTTTTTATCCAGTGACGAAGGAAAATTTGATATCCGCTTTATTGTTAGCGATAAAGGAGTTCAAGTCGATCTACCAGTAAGGCTAGAAAATTTACGAGATTTCATTACTCAAAAAATGGAATTGTTAACCTACGAATATGATACCGATTTACGCTTTGAAGAACAAACTATCATTGTTATATATAAGCTATCTAAAGCCGATGATGAAGGTCATAAAAATTACGATATTGTATTCTCTCGATTTAATAGTTATTTACATGATTTACGTTTAAAAATTAATGAAGAATTAAGCCAACAGAATAAGGCAGAATTACAAGAACAACTGATTCAAGTTTATTACGATATTAAAGATGAGTTTACTAATGAAGGTGATGTCGGTGTACCCATGGAAATTTATAATTATATTGCCTATCAGGCACCCAAGATATCGACTAGTTCGTGGCAAATGTTTGGCCGAATTCTGACCATTGCTTTAATTGGTGTATGCTTTGTTTTGGCTGTGGCTTCTTTCTATAATATCGATCGAATTAATGCATTAAGTGATGCTTTATCGGGCACTATATTATCTTATATAACGATGGTTGCTAGTATGAGTTATGTCGCTAGTGGTGGTATTGAAGAGCATAAGAGACGCATGTTAGTTAAAAAGCATATCCTTGATTACATTTGTGGTTATCGATTTTTCTACACTCGAGGCAATACTTTTAATCCTTGTACACAGTTATATCAATCATCGCATTGGTATAAATTATTGAAGAAATCCAAAGAGTCCTCATCCGATGTCGCATAGAAATGGTTTAATATTTTCTAAGTGTTATGGATAACTTCATTTCTTATTACAAATCAATCTTAGGGGTTAGAAATGTCATAAACAGTCAGTTTATAATAAGTAAAGGCTTCCAAGCTAATTCATTACATTCTTTGACCATAATAAAGGTGTGTAAGAGTTAGAATTATTACTCGATATTTAATCGTGTCGCTAATAGTTTTCTTAACGAAACTGCCCAATTAAATATGTTATCATATCCTATTCTCAGGATATATCGTAACAATAATAGCTGAATACATATTATACTCTCCTGTGTGTAGATTACTACTTGATCTCAGCTCTATTGCAAGAAGCTTAACTATCTATCCAATCTTGCCTTCGTAACTTATATACTCAATATTTATAAGAAATAAATGTTGAACTTATTCTTATAAGGAAGAAAGACAGGAACGACAAAGAATTTATCATTGAGCTTCATGAATATAAAGTAGCCAATGGATCTATTTACTGCTCTCAATAGGTTATTTTTTGTTAAGATAAAGTATAAAGAGACCACTTTATCATATTCATTATGCCTATCTATGTTAGATGATAGTTAACTTATTCGTTTCTATTTTAATCTTTGATTATAAGCTAACACTTAATGGTCGTATCAAACATGGGGATTAGTTCTGTGTCGTAATGTTTCTTTTGTCACTAATTTATGATATACTAAGTTTTCCTTTGCTCAAAGTATATCAAAAGATAACTAATTTATTTAATGTACTTCTTTATTAAGACTTTATTATTGTAAAAATGTCGCCAGTGCGTAGTCTATGAACATTAATCAGTCACTCTTAGTTCTAACTTATTAACTTAATTGCTATTCTTTGGCCTGTGAGTGAGCTTTGGATCTTTCTTTGCAAATTAGTAATCATTTTACCTTTAATATTATTGTTGGACGGTTGCTATTGGCTTATGGTAACACATTCATGGATGATAGCGAATATCTCCTAGTTTAATTTTTAGACCTACATTGGAACTATCATGATCATCGGAAGACCGAAGTGTGAGAGTCTCCATATTGGATTATGAATCATGCGATAGTAGCTTGTACTAACGCAATCATGGATAATGACAAACATCTCCTGACTTATATTTAGACCTATACTGGGAACTCTCATGATCATTGGAAAGCCTAAGTGAAAGAATCGCCATATTGAATTATAAAACATGCGATCATTAGCTGTTGAGTCTCTTCTTCGCCTAGACATTTATTGTGTAATTAATTAAAACTAGGTAACCAAAATTCTATTGCCAATTTTGAATCCAAAGTGGTTCGTATCATGATTACATTTTCCCCAGAGCACCATAAGTCTCATGATGATCACTCTGAATATTGGTGATTTTAACAAGCAATCTATATTGCGGAATTCGATAAGGTCCTAATTTTGGCTATTAACTTTAATAGGTGTTTAGCTAAGCGTCCAATAAAAAAATTTACTTTTACGTTTGCATGATATCTATAAGCAGGTCTAATTGCTAAACTATAAACAAAAGCAGAATCTTTACGTTGTGTCGAGTAAATAGTCAATAATAAAGAAATTAAACTGCATCAAGACTTGTAATCTTTAGGTAAAGTCGATTAATATATCTAATTTATTTGCCAAAATTGGTTAAAATTCTGCATTTTATTTGCCTACATGCAAATTTTATTGTTGAAGTTCACAAAACTTTGATCCTCTTTTATAATAGAACATAGTTTTTGATGTAAAATGTCTCTCTAGGTTGAAGAGTCGGTAGCAAGTTTTCATTCTGGTGAATACAACGTTATTAATATCAATTATATTATCATTGCAAACTGATGAAGTCTAACTAGCCCATTATTGAAACATATACATATGCTAACTTATAATAAAGCTTGAATGCGGTATTGGGTATTGACTCATAGTAAGTAATAGTTAAATTCAGAAAACAGTTCGATGACCGGTATTGCACATCATACCAGAACATATCGCATAAATAATAGCAGATGAGCAACCAAGGACTAGAGAAAATATATAGCGGGGTCAAAGATATTATATTCATGCGTTATTAGAATAGTAGAGAGCTATTAGTGGGTAATTCAGAAACGATAGCTATAGCCCTAGTTAGATCGCAATCATTTGTGAAATTACATAAGGGTTAGGATTAGCGTAAGATAAATATATTACCAAATGACAATCCGTGTACTAATTATGAACTGTGAGATTATATTATCGTTGTAACCGGTACATTATTATCTGTAATATCGTGTGAGATATTGATACGTATTATATAGTATGTTAAATTATCAAACCGAACTTCTTTATATACAGTATAATTTATGCATAGCTGGGTATGCAGGTTCTGCTAGTATCTTATCAAATTCAATTCTATTCTTAATGTTATTCGTTTATATGCTAGTAAATCTTGTTCAATTTTTAGAATTAGTATAGCGTTTAAGGAGATTACGATCGAAAATAGTTAGATACTACTAAGTCGTGATAGGTTTATAATACTGTGTTAACAGGAATATTTATTTAATATTTAGCTAAAATATACGGATAATTCAATACAAGGTTAGATTTAGGGTAGATTAAAATTTACATATGCGATAGATTTATAACGGAATATTACAGTTTTTTCTTATTGCAAAGAAAAAATATCAAATGCTTAATTTAGTTATTCATCGAGCTAAATAAGTTAATTTAGAATCCTAGTGTCTAACTCATACTCCAAAGTGGTAAGGTATAAATAATATTTATATAGCCATATTACTATTTTATAGGACGATAATTTATCATTTAGTTTATGATAATAACACAATTAATAGCAGTTCCAATTATAGTGTAGTACGGTTAATAAGAATATTAGGTATAGCGTATACGCGGTATATAGGCATATCATTGCTTTCATATTATACCATAACATATTAAGAAGGAAAAAATTTAGCCTCTATTTCTTTGCAAAGGTATACAGGCATTTCTAATATGTCACAAGTAATCAAACAGAATATAAGAATAAATGCTAATACTTGTGTATGTTGTAAACTAATTTTAACAAATTTGAAATTGCGGATTACGCATACAAAGAAATACGTACAGTTCCATCACCGATATGAATCTTATTAACTATAATAAGTTATTAGAGATGAAGTTTCCATAGACTTCTACTAGAAGAGGTCTTAGTTTATATCACATAATCCATTTTATACTTCTGTATGATTGCTTTGCATTGACATAGTTGTAATTGGGAAGAGAAATTTCTCATCATTTAGATTATCATTGAGGCCTAGTTTTTTTGCCACGACAGTCAATCGGCGATTCTTTCTGGAAGTACTGTTAGCTCGAAGACGAATATCTTGATCATCGGATGAACATATAATTTCAGACAATTGAGCGCAATGATTATAGCTTATTCCTCTTGAATAGAAGAATGTATAACCTTTCATATACTTTATGGCATAGTTTTTAATGGCTTCTTGTCGTTTTTCTGATTTAACATCTTCAGCAATATATTTTAAGCCCAAAAACATGGTAGCATAAGTTAGGACAAAGACAGATACCGCATCGCCTAGTGAATTCAATCTTTCTAAGCTGTTAAAAGAAGCAGCAGCTAAATAAAATATAGCTCCAACTACCGTTATAATGGTTATCCTTAATACTAATTGCCATGGGCTAGTAGATAATTTAGGCAAATGATAGGATAAATACTTGTAGAGATCCATAGGTATAGCAATTTGAAGTTTTCTGGTTTGGATATCGTGATCTTCGTAATAGATTGGAATCAATGAATTCTGACGCGCTTCTTCTGATAGCAATATCTCTACAATTTGATCGTTTAACTTGGACAAAAAGAAAGAATATTCGGAAAATACAATTTTGTTTTGTTGATAGTTTTTTATATTATAATACAGAATAACTTGAGTTTCTTCACTTTTTAATTCACATGTATATAAGGAGACTAATTGCTTAAAAATGTCTTCAAATTCTCCCCTTAACGGTAATAAAATTTTAGGTAAATCAAGTTCCATCGATAAATCTTCATTAATATGTAAGTAAATAGCTAGTTTGCCGTATAATTTAGTTTGAAATTTTTGACCTTCTGCTTCGACTTGTTCTCTTACTTTTAAAATATCTGTTATTATGGACAACTTCTCTTCAGCATAGCTGTTCAATACTTGTGTTAAAAAATAAATAAACGGCATAAAGATGCCAATATAAGAGGTAAAATAAGTACCATTAGCCATAACAAATGCTGCCGATGTAATTATCATACGCACAATAACTTGATAAGTTATCCATAGAAAGACAACACTGCAAGCATAAAAGATTAAGGTAGCAATATAAATCGTCGGTCGAAAAATGGTTTCCCGAAAGCTAGGATTAGCGTAACCTTTACTGCATAATCTGGTAGCGATAATTTCTGATTTCTTAAAAACGTAATAATAAAGTGACATTTTATTAATTAAGAAAAATGGTATAGACAGAATAATTTCCAACAACATGGTCAAGGAGAGCCAACAGCTGCGGCCAAAATATCGACAAGCAAATAATTGACGAAAATGAAACCACCATCGAGCAATATATTTTATAAAACGGCGATTTAACTGCGATTCACTGTAGATAAAGATTGCTTCGACTTTATTGATAAATAATCGTTCATATTCTTCATTACCATAGCGAAAAATGATAGCAATCACGATATATAATGTTGCAGACCCATAAATTGCAGCAATAGCGCAAAAGATATAAAACGTTTGCGATGGTAAAATGATAGATCCGCGTAAATTAGGATAAATTAAGAAATAGTTAGCATGTAATTGGAACCATACTGAAACTGCTAATCCTGTCATGCTAACTAAGAAAACACCAATCATACGTAACCAAATTCTCTTGGTTATAAAATATTCCAGTAGGAAACGTTTAAATCGATAGCCGATACTTTCAGAGCGATAATCAGTAATGATTCGGAGATCCATTGCGGTTGATTCTCCGCCTGTATCGTTTTTCCTAAAATAAAATAAAACAGTATAAAATAGTTTATTTCTTCATTATCAAATGCATGATCAAAGGATTTTCTGCGTTACCGTTTCTTTAAGTTAACTATTATTTTGATTTTACAGTACTGTTTTTTTAATATATAAGTTACTTCTTAAAATAGAGTAGTAAAACATCGAACCTTAACGCCGGGGTAGCTTTTAGTGTCCATTTGACAAGGCTTGCGCCTAAAGCACAGCTAACGAGGAGTGATATATAACGAAATGCAATGATATAAGTGGATGCTTTATCCGTTGTTGAACATTTTGTCTCATTAGAAATTTTCCAGCAGCATTGTAAATTAATTTTATCAAGACTACTAGCAAGATCGTATTGACGAGAGCAGACAACATTGCATTTTTCGTCATTAGGACAGGAACGGCCATTATTTGGTAAATCAATTATATAATTTCGAAATAACAGGCGTTTACATTGATCATTTAGTAATGACATGCAACGATTTGGTTTTTCAACGGGATAAACACGAATATAATCTTGAAAAACTGCCGGCAAGTATAGATTGATCAAGTGAAAATCAGCTGGTAACGACAACAAGATTTCACCAAAATTAGGACGACTCCAAGCATAAGTCGTTTTACTATCGGAGTAACTTTCGTTAACTTGAAAATAAATTACACGAGCGATATTCTGATCTATCTTCGTTTTTAATACTTGATAATCTGATTGTCGAACAGATAGTGAACATTGATGAGTACAAGGGTTTCTTCCTGTGATAGCATGGCCATAATGGCCCCTCAGGATAACGGCAAGCGACAGATATAAAATCAAAGTAGCGTGATTGATCTTTGTTAACTTGGCCATGACAAAACCGTTAATTTTACAATTAGATGATTCAATGACGATCTCCTTCGAGAATTAAAGTATTTTTCTTGTTCCTTTCGATTTAAGAAGCCAGAGCCAATAAGAATTCGATTGATTTTATGCTCAAAGCGACGTTTATGTAGTCAAGTTGAACTCGACACGAATATTAACAACCTGCTGTAGAAGGAATAAGCGAATTAATTAACATTATTTACTAAGTCTATACATCATATCATGATGTAAAGATTACTAGAATACAGAAAAAATCTTGCTGAGCTGTAAAAAGGAATGATTTCATGCTCTACTTACTCTAGTAATGGTGGAAATTTATCACGGAGAGAAGAAGATGCATAAGTTCAATGCTCCGGATTTCAACATAAAACGCAGTTGTAGATGGGATAAAATATCTTAATTGTAAGGTTATTTCGAATATTTTTCTTGATCCTTTCGATTTATGAAGCCAAGTCCAATCGAAATTGGATGAATTTTATGCTCAAAGTGACGCTGATATAGTCAAGTTAAATTCCACATCAAAATTAACAACCTGCTGTTAAAGGAATAAGCGATTAGTAAACATTTTACTACGTCTAGACTTGATGTCATGATGTAAAAATTGCTAGAACACAAAAAAATCATGCTGGGTTACGAAAAAGGAATAATTTCATACTCTACTTACCGTAGTAGTCGTGAAAATTTTATCACGGAGAAAGAACATTCAATGTTCTGGATCTTAATATAAAGGTAGTTGTCGATGGGATAAAATGTGTTAATTGTAAAGATATGTCAATTAATCACTTTTAGACCGGAAACTGAACACAGAATTAGTCTGTTCCTCGTGTAATGGCGTTTTTATAATGTCCGGGTTATTCTATTCTACCCCTCCCATACTACAACAGAAGAACAAAACAAATCATACTAAAAAAATGTTTTAATGTAAATAATGAGTCAACTACATTCCATCTATCCAATTATTAGCTAAAAGATAATGCTATATATATGAAAGACAATGAAAATATATTAGCATCCAGACTTTAATTGTAGTAGAGAGAAAACAGTTCAATAAAATATAGCTTTGATACAATATTATAATCACTTAATAGAGGCAGTTAAAGGTAATGGAACATCATTACTATTAATGCAGAAAAAAAGTTTCGTTATAGATTTGCGAGTTATTGGCACTCTTTACATATAGAAATTGCGCTAAGCTGCTACTGCTATGGTAAAGGGACGATGGCGAAGGAGAAGGCGCTAATAAGATCAAAGTATGCAGTTCTCCAGCTAAAATTTTGTATTCTTTCTTTAAATGCATTCTGTAGTAATTTTTTTACGTAATTTGAGCTCATTTATTAATGCCATTGACCTTTAGACCAACCTACTGGATAGATACAGTATTTCAGAATAGACTATTAAGAATACGATGTACAGTTTAGCATCGATCTGCGATAGTTCTTTCGACTTTTATGCATAAATTCACTGTAAACTCTTGTAGTTGATTCAGATTTATAATCCAAAAATTGAGGCAAGTTGTATTATAATAGATTTCTGTAATTATTTGCGATCTATACATACGATAATTAATTGAGGTAATCTACCATAGTAATGGCCAAGATTGCGATACGATAATAAAAACAGTGATAGCTAATTAGTTACTGTTACTAAGGACAAAATATATTATTTTATTTCCAGAATTTGTTATGGCTTCATTTTTTTGTTTATTCTGGGTATAATTGGACATAATCCGCTAGTCTAAAGCTAAAAGCGTAATACAATTACATGATTTACGAGTTGACAAAGGGTCTGACTATAGTTCTATCAAGAATACAGAAGATTACATGACGACAATCTTGGTAGTTAATTTCTTAAACAGTCTGATTTTGATTTACTAATATTGTGCAGAAAATGAGAATCAATCCCAAGATACTGTATAAGTACTCGTATATCAGGAGATGGTATTAAGAATATAAAGTACAGTTTAATACTTATCTGTTTACAGTTATTGTGACTAATTTATGTATAAACTTGATCGACTTATCAATTTAAGAGCAAAGAATAGTTTATTAAGTGATAAAAAGACCGTTTCATTGTGAATTTTTATTGTTACTTAAGATTTCTACGTATAAAAATGGAGAGGAGCTAGGCTGTATTTTATGATAGATTCTTATGATTATTTACAATCTTTAGATAAAGATAAATTGAGCTAATCTACGAGTTCAGTGACATAAATATGTTATTATAAAAGCGATAATTGTTCATGAGAAGCGTCATTAAAATAAAAGAGACTGTTTAGGCATAGATATTTTTTATAATTTGATTCTTCCGCTCTTCTCGCGCTTAAAGTTGAGTTAATTGGACAGTGTATGGTAAGAATAGAAGGGATAAATAAGATAAAATTAACGAAGAACTCGGTTGGAGTTCTATTAAGAATGAAGAGCTCCACCGCGTGATGTCGATTTTTTTGGTATTTTCTCGTGTAAATGATGTTGGGTTACTTACTCTATATTAAACATTTTAATTAATCGAATACTTAATATAGATACAGAAAACACTATTAAAGATGAAAATTGCGATTTCATATTAATCTTTTAAAATCTATCTTACTCTTTTCTGTGTCGATGAAGTCGATGTGTAATGAGCAAAACGATTTTAGATATTGAATACGTACTTAATGAAACAAGGCAAAGCATATTATTGTAAGAGTACTTCTTCCCGCTAATGAAATCATACGTATTGTAAATATAGATTTTCATATACTGTATTGCTGGTAATTATCTGATAAACAGATTTTATTACCATTTCCGTCAATCCCTGCAAATAAAAAAAATGACCTTCTAGAGGGTAACGCAGTATGGTCGGAGTTAACTCATTGATGAGAAAACATTATCATTCAAGAACTGCTTCTGTATTCAACGGTGTCATTCCATCAATCAGTATTTATGTTATAGATTACAAGACTCTACTAGTTATTCCCCGGATATTTGATTTTTAATCACATGATATCCGCTTGTAGCTATTTCTATATTGGCAAAGGCATAAAGTATACATTAACTTTTAATGAACTGTATATAACATTCAAAAGTAACCAAGTTTTGCAATCTAGATATGAGTAGAGATACGGAGTGCATAAGTTATACAAATAGCTACAACGGCTTGGTGACATCTTTAAAAGTATATATCCAATTTTATAACGCGAAAAGTTATTCTCATTTACGGCTTACGCGTATTATATATCATTAAGATATAATTTTTAGACTGATCATTTCAAAGTAAATTTATTTGCTATTATTCATTATCTATCATCTATGTATTAAAATGAAGCTATCGCTATAGCTACAATAATAATATGTTCTCGTTTCGAAAAGTTTACTGGTTATTCCCTTTATATTCGATTTTAATCGTATAATATCCGGTTGTAGCTATTTCTGTATTAAATTTCAAAAACCACCAATGACTCCAAGTTTTGCAAACTGTATGGGAGTAGATATACGGGCTGTATGAAATATATAAATCGCTACAACGGCTCGGTGATATCTTAAAGTATATATCCAATTCTCTAATGCGTGCAATGATTTACCGCTTGGTACTTCATAGAATCAATTTTTGAATTACCCAATTCGATTAATGTTCGTCCTTGCATCGAGTTAATATACGAGTAAATTTCTTTAGCAGCACTTTAGAACTACTGTATTAAACGAAAGTTAAATTTTCAATTACTTTACATTACATAATAACTCTGAATCATTCCTGAATTATAATTTTATAAGGTAAATTTTTTACAGCTTCTACATACGAATATCTAATTCTGTTATTGATCATAGATAAAATTAGAATTTGATTTAATAGGATTATATTGATTCTTTCCACAAAAAAAACTAAAATATACCTAATCCCAGTATTATTTTTTTCGCCAAAATCTGTAGGATAGAACGTGTCATACGGGGTCTACGGATAACACTCAAGAGCTCACTGTACGAATTATATCTGAGGATGATCGACAAAATGTTAGTAAACACTGTAAAAGATATTATAACGGTATAGCTTCCAAGTTCAAATCATAGCAAGTGCACATCTTTATCTGTATACTGTCAACGGCTGGCATAATTTTATCTGTATGGATACAATCAAAACCTTATGCCACGATGCCATATCTTTATGATTTTGCTTAACCTGAAATTTTTGAGATCGTGACAACTATTTTAATTATAAAATACATCCTAGCCGTTATAATAGTAAAGCCAAATTTTTATGGTGATTTAGATATACAAAAGATCGATTTTGAGTATGATCAGATCATAAAAAGCATCGGAAAAAGAGTTTGTTTTCCATATATTTTGGCATATCAAAAATTTAAAATAGAATTTTCTTCAGATATTGGTACACGGTAGATACAGTCTTGAAATGATCTTTAAAACCTGCGCACTTTTATTAATAAATCATAATTGCATCGCCGTTTATTATTATCAATAGATTATCTTTAGTTTATTATATATTCCGTAAAGCGGACATCATTACATTTAGATTAAGCTATGCATGTAATTGTCGAGGCGATCATCTAACCTGCTGGAAAGTAATCTTGAAAGTTATTATATATATATTATATCGGTATTACACTGTACCATAATAATCGGAGGAATTTGGGTACTTTTACAACTCTTTGCTAAAGTATTTATTATATCGGTTGCTTTTATTGCAACCCACAGTGACTTCTTTGCTTCTCATTTAGGAGCATTTTTATCACTAATTTATTGTATGCGACGATTATTAAAACTCATTTATTAAAGAGAAGGACATGCTCTATGAAGATATACTAAATATGAGGCAAGAGATGGAACACGAAGCCACGGATTATTTTTCATCAGATAATGGAGAATTGGAAATACGATTTGCCCTAACGTATCAAGGTGTTAGACTAGATTTGCCTGAAAGATTTTTTAATTTACGGGAGGCGATAAAGCAAAATCTTGAAAGGATAGCTTTAAATGATGCAGATGTAATCGAATTTGAAGGACAGACTATGAATATCATTTTCAAGCTTATTAGTAGAGAACAGGAAGGAAAAAAGTCGTATAAGGTTACATTTTCTCGATTCGATCATCAGTGGATCATCTACGCGATATTATCAATAAAGAGTTATCTCGTCAGCAAGAAGAATTTTTACAGTCATCAATCAAACAATTTTATTTTGATATTCCTATGGAAAATTGCAACGAAATGGATATTGCTATACCTAACATTCTGCGATATATTCATAGATATACATTTTTTTACACGAAAGGAAGAACCGTCAATCCATTTGCTCAGTTGATTCAAATTTCCTCTGGTAGAACACTATCACATGAAACTAAATGTAATCAAGAGCTTTATTTCTCACAGGTCAGTAATAATTTATCGTATTCATAATTTAATATTTCACTAGACCAAGATAAATGCTATCAAAATGATTAATAAAAAAATCAATTTATTTCAATGCGAGTTATTTTAGAGATTCGAATAGGTCATAACGATTATTATTATTATTCTATTAGGCCATCGTATTACTCAAGTTTAACGGATAAAGGATTTTAGGATGTAAATTGGATTATACTTGTAAAGATAACCCGCTACTTGATAACGATTGCGCAATTTTTATGTGATCATATGGGATTTGGAAATAGGTAACGATCGAATTTTGTATTAAGAGATGATTAGTTTCTCAGTCTATTAAGACAAAAATTAATTTAAATTCTTCGATAACATAATCTGTCGATATTCTTCCAGTCTGACGAACTTATTCATATTTATATTGTCTTTCCATAATAGTTCCGAATGGACAATCATGTAAGTGAACGATATCTCGAAGTATACGTAATAACCAATCGACGTCTGTTACAATAATTCCTCCATCGCCTACTTTATCACAAAATAGAATTTCGCCTAAATCGTGTGAATACGTTAGCATATCTCTTAATTCTTCATCACTTTCGTGTAAACTGTATTTTTCAGCTAATCGTGTAATTTGTTGTATTGTCATTATTTTATCGATTTTTATCAGTAATAATTTGATTGATTAACGATGGCCTGATGTTATTGTCCGTTTGACTGTTAGATTAATTAACATCATTATGTGCTGGTTTATGCAGTATAGTAGCCATAACGTACCATCGTATAGGAATAGGATCACTCATAAACGGTATCGATTCATCAAATTATTTCATAATATCATGTAGTCGTAGACAGTAAAATATTCCATCTGTGATATACGGAATTTCATCGTATTCGTATCCAATATGTAGCGGAACTGACAAATAATATAGCGATAAATCAAATGGCTCAACTTCAGGTTCTAATAAATACGGAACGAGATACTGACACGTAACTCTATCACTTCCATCTCGGATACCGCAAACAATATCATAACTCCATTAAATCAATTATACTCTTCTTAGTATCAATATCTAAATGAATTTCTTTACAGTTAAGAACATAATCAGTATAGTCTATCGATATTCTTCCAGTTTGACGAACTTGCTCATATTTCCCTTGTCTTTCTAAACTTCCAGATTGACAATCATGTAACTGAATAATTGCGCGAAATATACATAATAACCAATTAATGTCTGTTACAATAATTCCTTCATCACCTACTTTGTCACAGAATACAATTTCACCCAAATCGTGTAAATACGTTAACATATCTCTTAATTCGTATTTTTGAGCTAATTGTCTAATTTGTTGTATCGTCATTATTTTATCAATTTTATCACTTATAATTTGATTGATTATCGGTGGCTTAGTTTCATTCATACCTTGATCAATATTATCATACTCGTACAGTGATTTATGTAATATGGTAGCCATAGCGTATCATCGGATAGGAATAGGTTTATTCATAAATGGTATTGAATCAACGAATTGTTTCATAATATCATGCAATACGAGCCGACCACCTGGGGATGGTTATCACCTAGGACTGCCAATCGAATTTGGAGCGATTTAGCAAACATACTCAGAGCCTCATCATGCCTACCATGACTATGATAAACATTTCCTATGTAGCTATAGGAATCGGCAACATGGGGATGATTGTGACTTAGGACTGACAGTCGAATTGTCTTTGACTTGTTGTACATAGCAAGAACCTCTCCATGCTTGCCTTGACTAGCATAAGCATTCGCACGCTGTTATAGGAATCGGCAACATGGAGATGATTGTCACCAAGGACTGACAATCGAATTCTGAGTGAATTAAGATGCATAGAAAGAGCCTCATCATATTTGCTGTCATTATAATAGGTAGTTTCCATGTTGCTATACAAGGTAGCAACATCGGGACAGCGTTGTTGATAATACAATGTTTAATGTTATGGCAAAATTGTTTAACATCACTTCAAAATCTGGAAAAAGCTTGTAATTAATTATTTGAAAACTATTCATAGATAGAGCCAAATCATAGATGCCACCATTATCGTAGATACGCCCTATTTGATCATAGGAGCCGGCAACAATTTTCTCGCTGATATTCTTGCGCTTTGATTTCATTTCAAGAGATTTCTTACTGTCTTTGAGGGCTTCATCCAAGTCTTCTTGCGCTATTTTAATCTCAGCTTGCATGTATATAATATAAACATGTCGCCAATCTGAATCGATCCTGCAGTTGATTAGCAAAATTACTAATCAATCAAACTTTTATACCGTAGCGATGGAGTTAGTACTGTACGGTTCTCAGACGGACGGAACATCTGGAATTTTGCAGTAGTTGACGGTACTGTACACTCATGTACAGTACTATAGTACAGTACCGTACAGCACAGTACGTACTGTACAGTAAGGCAAAATCAGCCCAAATACTGTACACTGTACAGCCCTCGCTTGCAAACAAGCAAGACGAGCTTGGCGTGAGCTTGCAAAGTGTTAAGGAAAGTCATCAAGCTTAGGTGAATTTTTTCCATGCAGATCGAGCTTGCGTAGCACTTTCCAATTGAAATTGGAGAAATTGTCAACTTATTTTAGCACACTGTACATATGTACATCAGCTATTACTTCAACATCAAACGGTAAGTACTCTACTCTACTCGATAACATGCTGTCAATACCTTGATTGTAATGGGCAATTGAGCTGCAAAAATGCAAACGTCTGACCTACTCAGCCTTGGTTGATGCTAAAAAGTTGCTTAAAATGTTTATTAAGTTAATGCGTACCCAAGTACGTATAGAGTATGTGCGATTGTCGCAATAAAGCAATGAATCACCATAATTTGATACATCATTCTGGCTAAATAATACAGTATTTACTAGTCATCAAATTGTATCAATACTGCATAGTGATAATTTCGTTCTTAATGTAAAGAACATGGTTTTGCATTGTTTGAGTCATCAAAGACTATTGGCAAACACCTTGCGGAGCTTTACGGGCATTACTGGCCTAATTTGTCTTCGTTTACTCTTTGATCTAGTGGATGGTGGGGAAGTTGACTTGAATTAAGCGTCGACAATGCCTAAAAGTAGTTTGCCCAAAGGTTGGAAGCTATCTGGTAAACCAGATAATCCTAGGAATATCTACTTGATAACGTAAGCCAAACAATAATCTTCTTGTACTGTAGTTTGTAGTGTACAGTACAGTCAAAGCTGGGATTCGTCATTTCAAGTTTACTGCATTAGTCAAACGAATGTCCATGATTACAATAAATAAAATAAATTATTGCAAACAATTCTTTTTCATAGCAACCATAATTATGATGTACACTTTGGCACAATTTTAAAATACACGTATTAATTATTACTTCTGGCATATTTCTATCCTTAGTTAATAATTAATCGAACTACGTACATGCTTCCAGTAATGTAAGCGTAAAAACAAAACTATTTGCATAATGATCCACTAATTTGAATTAATACAGACCAGATGGATGTAAAGTTCGCTACCCGAGCGAAATATGGCGTTATGTTGAGAGGAAAAATTTAAATTTAACGCCTTCCGATTTTGCATATTATCAACGGGTTACCGGTAGACAAATGATTTCCGACGATAAAATTAACAAAATTAAAGATGCAAACAATGGCCAGCAGGCACATTCGGATGAAAATGATGCTCATACCCGTAGAAGCAGTAGCCTTTCTATCGCAAAGGAAAGATGTAAAGTTTTCAATGCAAAAAATAATAACGACAAGTTGGAGAGAAACACTACTACATCTTGTGATAGAATACCTACTGTTGTAGAAATGAGCAAAAATTCTGCAAGACTTCAATCCAAAAATAGGCAAAAGACAAAAACGCTAATGAATGACACGACAGTTAATGAAGAAGTAAATGAGCAAACAGCCATTGCTAGTCGTACAAGACGTTCTATAAGAAATGTAAAGGTAGTGAATCATAGTATGACAACACAAATGGTGGAACTTTTAGAGGAAGATAATATGTTTGATGGTAAAGCTGTTAACCGCAAATCAGCTAAGTTGCTACTACATCCTATCGGCCAATCAAGTCCAGTAATTGCACACAGTAAGATAAATAAGGTACCGGTAAATACGCTTGATAAGGTAATCGGAATCAAACAGCGTCTAAGGCAGTCGAAAGTAAACTTGTTAGCAACCAATAATGGATCTGTACGTATTAATAATAAAACTGCCAAACATGTAATGATGCCTGTTGATGAAGAAACTAATATCACTGAAAGCAGCAATGCAGCCCCGTCTCAAACACGTCAAGATAGTCTGGGGCTACGAGACAGATCAAGGCTAGTTAAAACTTTTAAAGCAAAGGTCCTACAAGAAGAACATACAAGAAAGCTTGAAAAACCTGGCGATTTAGATTATAAAACAACATTCAAAACATGTGCAAATCAATTGTGTAAGATACCAAAAAGCAGCAGTATTAAAAATACGAAGCTTGATAACACTATACAGGTTAAATCTCCAACTATTCAATTGCGTAGAATTTCAAATCGCCGGAATATTGCTATAAAGAATGATGATCAAATGGTTACTGTCAAAGCAGAGGTCATAAATAATTGCAAACAGACCGTAAAGTTGGAAAGGAAAAATATAATGAAGCGCAAATCATCTGTAAGCAGAAATGCAGACGCAAAAAAGATTAAAATAGCGAAGAGAAATAATAACATTACAAAAAATGTACGAGAAATTGCCTTGACCAATCTTAAGCTAAAACAGAGCAAGAATAAGTCAGCTAAATTAATTGGAAAGGGGAAAGTTAAAAAAATCGGGACTAAAGAGAAAATGAAGAAGGATACTAAAGATTCAGATAGTATTCAAAATGAAGAAAATATTGGTAAGATAAGTAGCCTGAAATCACCAAAAAATAGAAGCCGTCAAATGGTCATTGAATCAGATGAGTTAGCGATTAAATCAAAATCTAGAAATCCTCGTAAAATTATTAATGGCAAACGTGTCCCTCGCCATATTAAAGGACCCAAATGGATACCTCCCAAATCTCCGTACAATTTAATTCAGGAAAAGTTATTTGATAACCCTTGGAAACTATTGATTTCAACGTTATTGCTGCACAATATAACAGGTAAGAGTAGCTAGCTTACAAGCTATTACTCTTCAATAGAATCTTTTAACGTTATTGCATTATCTGTAGTCGTAGAAAAAAAAGCTATTCCATTGCTATGGAAATTTTTTGGGCATTATCCCACTCCAGAAATAGCAAGTAATGCTAATTGGAAGGAAATGGCAGAGAATTTCTCTGCTCTGGACATGCAACATGATCGAGCCAAAATAATCATTAAATTTTCCGGTAGATTTATGTCGTTAATGCATGATTGGTATATTTTGAGGCCTTCACTAACTTTATTTGCCAAAATGGAAATTTTAGATGAATATATTAAAAAAGATTGGTGTTATCCATGTGAATTATTTGGTATTGGTAAATATGGAAACGATTCTTACAGAATTTTTTGCGTTAATGAGTGGAAGAAGGTATTGTAAGCTAATATAATATTTTGACGTAAGAGGTCATATTAATTTAGATTGTCATTTATATTACTTTATAATTGGCCTTATTATTTTCATCTGATCATAGTTAATATCTTGTATGTTTATCATCCAGGTCTTTCCCAGAGACTACAATCTGGTTAGGTATCATAAATGGCTATGTCAAAAATATAAATACGTTCCCCGTAAGCGACCTAACGTTACTTTTGATTATACTGTTGGAACTCATGACATAAACCTTAGCGAACTTAAAGATATGTTTAAACCGAGTTTGCCCGTAGAGTCAATTCCTGATAGCTAATAAATTTTGACGCTTTCCAAGAAGGATTAGAGTTTTTCCAAGATTGCAAGATGATATCGTTTTAGAATAAAGTATTTTTTTAAGCGATACAGGTTAGTATGCTAACAAATACCTGTAAAAATTATCACTCTTACTATACAATGTTATAAACATTGTGTTGCAACTGAAGGAGACCATTGAAAGTTCAATAAAATTAGGAATACTACTTTTTCATGTTTATGCTTAATATATTTAGCTCTTTGTATGTAATTTATAAAATATATGTGAATACTGTGAGCGATGACAGCTCTACATTTCAGTTACAGGAATCCTATATTGTGTTTGCATTAATAGAGATGTGATCCGATATATATATATTTGGACAAACTTATTCATCGAGAAAATGTTATATATATATTTTAACCAACTTTACTGGCAGTAACTTATATCTAATGACAAGGTCTATATTTTAACGACTTACATAAATATATTTCAATGTACTCACCGAAAACATGCTTGTATAAGACAAAAAATGTTGTTTATATAATGTGCCGTTTTGCAAAATACGAAGGATCTGTAAAAGAGTACAAGAACTATTGATTTTAAATCTTTCAACAAAGTAGCGTATTTACTGCAATAAACATTATATGATTAGTAAATACAACTAAGAGTTTTTACTCTAACGATGCTATGTTTTTACTTTATTACTACATTCGTATGGGTAAATTTAATGTGTAAAAGTGATAATACAATATTCGGAGGGCTCTAGTACGTATGGACTTTAGGCATTAATCGTATTCAGGAAATTGGAATCATTTCAGTTGAAGTTAATACCCTTTTAACAATGTGGGTTAATGCTACATAGCGAAATGTATCGTAATCAATTAATAATAATTTAAGGCCCATACGTCTAAGAATCTACAAGATTATTCCAAGCGTCTTGAGTTCCATAAAAGCAATTATAATGTATTAATACAGCTTTCAATATCTGTTTGTCGAGTGTATAATCATTATGAAATATATAGAAAACACTCAACTGCATTATCTATCGCATTTTATTGAAAGGTTAGTAAAGGTACAGAAATAGACTCGTGCAATGCATAGACAAATAACTGTTTAATGATATCTCTTCGCTGCATCATACTGTTTCGGATCAGTTCGAGTTCAAAATAAGCGACTTAAGACATGTATCGTATGCAATGATCAAGTTATCAGATGTAATCTTCAATTGCTTAAATTGAACCAACGGAGCTATTCCATACAGTTACTTCATTGTAATAGAAAATATTTGAAATACGCTTATGATATTGTTACACCATTCGTGGTCAGTTATGGGATCCATTTCTCTTTCTGATGATTCATAGCTCAGGAGCAATCAGTGCTTCTATCCATGAATTACAGTATATCATGTTATATTCTGGTAAATGCAGTAGCAAATAATGTTTTTATTGGCTCGGCTTTCCGCTATTATACCTCATTAATGTATTAAAATAACTATAACATAGCTTGGCACTGTGAACTAGTATCGCAATTTCGCTAGATATTACCTTCCCTTTAAGCACAATATAACCATTTTGTTGTAGATTTTTGGATTACCTAATATAATCTACGATACACATATACATTCGCGCATTTGCAATACTTGAGACGAGTAATAATGTGATCTGTATTATAATTAGATATTTATAGACTTTATGTTAGCGCTATGTTGAATCGGTCGCGAGACTGTTGCTTAGCAGCGATCGTTGGGCTCAGATTGGTCACACCGCAGGCCGAGAATTAGCTGCTTGGTCGGAGATGAAGTTGTACGTATGGGAATATTTATGTTAAAGTTTTGTTCAAAAACTATGTTGACAAATAAGATAGGCCCGGATCGTATAAAAGGGTCTTAGAGAGAGAGCTAAAGTAGCCTTTCAGATTTGCTAAGTCGGGATTAATAGACTAACGTTCTACTATTAGCTATAACCTTTTTATTGCTAATATTCTGTAACCTTTTTATGTATGTAATAAAGCTATTCTTATCCTAAGGCACTCAGTCTCAGCGTTACTGTGAACCAGTAGTTCGGAATAGCTTAGGAGTAGCAATTATTACAAGACGACAAATGATAGCTTCTTATTATCGCATATTAGCTAAGCATGTGTCCTAGCATTAGCAAAGAAGGTTTTGCACAATGAATAATAAATCGGTCAGAGTAAAATTTAACCAAAAGATGCAGTATTAACATATACGCGTATATAAATTTATTATGTATTTATACTCAATTTTGTAGCGAACATTGATGGACTCATAATAGCAATCATACTTGAAATGCGAATGGGGTGATACAGCATATTCAATATATGAACTTAAAGAATTAATTTCAGAGAGTGTATTTACAGCGAATATCTATTATGGTACAAATTTAATTTTCACTGCTGATTACCATACTATAGTTTAATCTCATTGAAAAATTCAAAGCAGTATTGCCATGGCTATTGGCTTTGTTATCATACTAAAATATTGCCAATCTTTGCTTATTAATTCATATGATATTTGATGCAGGTATGATTAATAAAACGTCCACTAGGGCTTACTCTTGCCATTTGGCCAAAGAATGCAATGACTGACTTTGTTGCTAAGGTCTAAATTTAAGACGTTCATATTGTATGGCGTTGCATATTGTTGGTGATAACTGTACACTGTACATCTTATAGTATAATATCAATATGCTGACCACTATATTGAATATCTAAAAGCTGAATTTTTCAACCGGGCATTCTGCCATTCTAAAAAAACCTAAAGTGGTACTGGTATAGTACTCTAAACTATCGCTGTTGCTTTGATGTTATGAATAAGATTATGGACTAGATCATTGCATGCATTAGTCTATTACAACTAAGCATCGGAGTCAACGACGATTACATACATGTAGTACAATATGATATTCACGTAAAATCCACCGATAAATTTACAAAGGTAGATCATTACGAAATAGAATACTAGAAAAGCGAGGAAAGCTATTTCATGAACTGTAAATCATACCATTTTGAATAGCTCAATCCTATTATATATAATACGAGTATATTATAAAATTTTAATTATATTAGCAGTTACTGTCTATTGCCCAAATTTCTAAATTATGCTTCTTCTATTTGGATCTTTCTGTGGAGAAGGTTTCATAATCTTTCTTATACTGACTGCGGCAGTCTTCAATTCCTAATGATAACTGATTAGCTAGGACATCGCAATCTTGGATTCCTTCACATCTTAATAACTCCACAAATACTTCTAAATAAAGGATAACAAATTGCTTCCTGGAGATAATATCCATAATACTTTGGTTGACATCATAAGCTCTCGATTCTTCAAAATCGGGGATTGACTGCATAATCCGCGATGAGCAAAGCAGGTAACGGGTTCGTAGCGCCTCAATAATATTTCTTGGTGCTAAAAAATCGCATATCTCATCACGGTATTGCTGTAAAAGTTTGTTACAAGGAGAGTATGGGTATTGGTACGGCATCTTTACTTTACAATTCTATAAATTATAGCACCAGAGTTAGTTTGCTTTAAAAAGAAGTCGGACTAATGATTTGACGATGAATATGACGGGCTGCAGTAAAAACATCGAGGCAAAAGTTTTACATTAATAGAAACTTGTTATACTGTAGGTTTATTTGCATTGCTAGTCCCTATATGGAACGATAGACATATACTGCATACATACATATATAGTGAATATTGATAATATTTCTCTCTCTTCTTCCTTCCCCCCCCCCCCCCCCTCCAAAAAAAACAAAGCATGAAATAATAATGAATTACTTTAGTGATTTGCTAATTTATTCATCAATACCGCAATAAATTCAATTTGTTCTATTATGCTGAATTTTATTGCTAGTTAAATGAACAGGTCCGAGTTTTGTTCTAAGAAAGGACTGAACTGAAGATCAATATCATTTCAATTTATAGTTAATCGACCGCAGTATACTTCATATTTCTAATTAAACTATTTGACGCTCTGGGGGATTGAAAAATTCAATCAGGGTGTGACCAGCAAGCCGCATCGTCGCCCAACTGCACAGCTTGTAAAAGCACTCGGTACGATTTAAAACAGCACTGTCCGATAGCAGCGTGTAGCCGATACGAGCCAATTTGCGATTCCTCAGATTTATCAATTGGTATTTTGAAAGTAAATAAATAAATAAATAAGCCCCGATCCACGTCCACTTCAAATAGTCTCTGATCGAATGCAAAATGCATGTCTGCGATCCGTTTTGACCTCTACCGATCTATGCGTGCATAGAGTGGCAGAATGACATAGGATTACTGTACCGTTTCACAACCAGAACAATGTGCCTATACAGACAGACCCTTAGTCTCCGGATGGACAGGGAGAACTTGTGTGGGGAAGGTAATCTTCTAAAGCAAATTCTCCTCTTCGGTAAGAAGAAGAATGTCTTTAGAGATGTCTTCTTCTTACCTCTATAGTCTGTACTCATGGACTACTAAATGTACCGGCATGTACATTAGTAGTTCATGGCTCCTACAGAGCAGTGTTTTGCAACTTTCTTGTTATCCACTCTGAGAACCGGACTGCAATTCTGTTTAAAAAGATACGTTGATGGGGCTAGACCTGACGTATCGTCAGCAGTTGTGTTCAAATTAAAAAAGATAAAAGCAAGATGTACGCAAGGACTCGATTGCACTCCGTTTAGTCAGCATTAAAAATCAGACTCTTTAAGACCTTTTACTAGCAGAAGTGGTCTTCTAGTACTGTGCCAAAGAGTTGCTTAACTCTATGTAGGAGTATCCGTTCAAATCAAAAAGATTGGAAGGGCAGAGAATGTGTTTTTAGAAATGGCCAGTGATATAGATCAGAAAGGTCTAATGGCCTCGTAAAAGGATCATGGGCTACTAGAAGCTTAAACGAAGGTTGTAGAGTACATGTACAGTACATTGTACTGTACAGTAGAGTACTGTAGGAGATTTTCTTTGGCATGGACTGTATACAGTGTACAGTACTGTACTGTACTGTACACTGTACAGAGTATCATCTACAGTACAAAGTGTAGAATGTACTGTAGAGTATACAGTACAGTGTACAGTACAGTACTGTAGAGTGTAGAGTGTACAGTACAGTACAGTGTACTGTACAGTACCAGAAGTCCCCAACGGTACCGTACATTGTACTGTATGTACCTGAGTGTCATTCCAGCCTGAGGTATCCAGTATAGTGTACTGTACACCGTACAGTATAGACTGTACTGTAGTTGTTGAGGCGCTTTATAGTTGGCCCTCAAGTTTCCTCCAAGGCCAAGACAACAAAGTAGAATCAATCAATCTGGCGATGCTATCCATTCTTCTATATCGACATTATGGCATTCGACAATGTTTACAACACCTTGAAGGCAATCTAGCTAGCTTCCAACTGGATATTGTGACAGTGATCAAGCAAAATAAGAGCGCGTAGCATCAGTATTCAACACCGAGGCAACAACATTGTGCGGCTTGGAGTGGACGACAATATCGCTACCCGTACACGCGTGGGCGCTAATACTGTACCACTCTAACTTTAGAAATTGACGGACGACTATAGTCAGGGCATTGTACTCGCCAGCTAGTTCTCCAGACTACAACCTTGAGTTGTCTCTTCGTGCTGTACCTTCATACTGTACCGTTTAAGGGCTCTATCATCACAGTCCAAACAATTTTCTATGCTTTAATTCAAGGTAGATCAATCAATCTCCAATTAAAATGGCGAATTCAGATGGTTGGCGAGAACTAGAAAGTGATCCGGGTAAAACAACAGTCCCTATGCTATATCGTATTGCTCAATTTTTGCTTCTGTGATTGCATTCAATTCATTTTTTTCCTCCTTTTTTAAATTGTATTGGACGGTGGGCATGGATTGGATCATGGTGTTGAACGACGTATCTTGCTTGGACGATACTATAGGACTATTTACACTTTTGATTGAAGATATGGGTAAGCGATAGATTGAATAGAATTTAACTTGATCGTTGCAGTGGTTACCATCAAGCTCTTCAATTTATAGTCTATTAGTAGATAGTACGCACTAGACCCTTGTCCTTTACAACAGTGTTAGTAGCTTTTACGATTGTCTCCTCCAACCCAATCATCCACACCATATCAACAAAGCAATCACATCAATGTCATACCTCTCAACTCAGAATAAATCATCATCACTTCAATCATGTGCTAATCTTGACATCATTTAAGCTTAATTGTTTCAAAGCACCACGAGTTAGAGTTATCAACAGTCTGTTAGTGATAAAGATAACCAATTTTCCCTATCCAATAATCCATGGTGGATGAATTAGATGTATTACTACTTTGTCTCATTATCCCCTTCTATGTGGGTATTTTAAAATTAGGTGTTACCGGAGTCGAAGTGGAAGAGATTTATGACTTATCAGAGCCATTTGATAGGTAAATGGATCAAATCAATCTAGCAATTGGACACAACGGTCAAATATTCACTAACCTCTAACCATAGGCTACTACCTCAACTACAATAATTTCTTAATCTATATCTGACCACTTTTCAGGAAAATTTACGGATTTATATTCCTTTTCAAATGGACTAAAGATAGAAGATCAAGACGAATGATGCAAGAGCAACTGCAAGCTGAGCAATATGCTTACGATACAACAATTGCTAATAGAATATTCTTTGCCCAACAGGTTAGCTACTGCTAAAAGTGAATGATTGATTATTTTTTGTTGTCACTTTCTGGGAAATAGACTAAAAGTTTGTTTAATGGATGGACTAAATGGGAACATAAAGTATCAATGGTGTGATGCAAATCAATTAATTTCTCATTTCCTTTTAGTTAATCCCCAATTCCTGTGCTACTCATGCTCTGTTAAGTATCCTATTAAACTCGCCATCGATCGAAGTTGGTGAAACATTATCAGAATTTCGTCAATTTACAAAAGATCATAATCCGGAAGTAAGAATAGAATGTCATACCCGATATCTACTTGTACTCTTAATTCCTTAACCTATTCGATCGTTAATGTAACGGAAATACTTACGCGGATATGTTGCATCCTGCTTTTAAGGTGAAAGGATTGGCTATTGGTAACGTCTCTAAATTAGTCAAGGCCCATAACAATCATGCAAGGTTGAATAGTAATAGATTTTATGTACTTTTCTGACTGAATGTCGATCATCACCTTTATAAACTGTATATACAGTGCCAAGTTACTGTAATATGGTAACAGTTTCGATATGCATACTCATCGAAGAATCGTTCGTAATATTATAGACCTGAAAATCGTCATGTCAATACCAGAGGCAGTGTATCTCATGGTCAAAGTGCTGAGTCTTTTCACTTTGTTAGCTACTTGCCCATTGATGATCATTTATATGAATTAGATGGACTTAAACCTTATCCCATCGATCATGGTTTGTATCTTGTCGAAAATATTTCAAAAGTTTATAATATGCCATCAAGCATCATTGTTCTCATACTAATTCTCACCTGGTATATTTATTGTTTCTTCAGGTGTTTTACCTGAAGGAGAAAATTGGACAGAGATGTTTCGTCGTGTTATTAAAGCTCGCTTGGGCATGGAAACAAACAAGTATATTACCTTAAATCAGAATTACTTGGATCAATTGATAACTGAGCGACTTTTAGCGTACTCATGAACTGTATTTCATTTATTATTTTTAGCGAGCCTTGCCACGATATACGTTATAATCTGATGTCAATAGTAGCGGATAAACGAACTGTACTTCTTAAAAGGATGTATACCTTAGTTAACTGCCAGTAAGCCTAAAATCTTCATATTTTTTGGACTAACCCATTAAAATTGTTTTTGAATATCATTTAATTCGACCATTTTTTGGGAATCTTTTCACAGAAACATTATGAAGGCTGCTATAGTTAAGGTTATTATACTATCTTTTTTTTTTAAAGTTAACATGCTGAGAATGCTAATGCATACAGCACGTCATCATCAATTACATTCGGTGATTAATCATTCATTTGTTATGATCGCTTGCAGGCTAATCAACTTACTAAGGATCTTCAGCGAAAATCGCGGCATAAATATGGGAAAAAGTCTGAACCAGGTTAATATCTTTATTTATATGTATGAAGACTTAGTAGTACATCTTGTAGGAAAATTTGATTATTATATCATCATGTGGTCGCATAATTTACCATTTTTTGTAGCTGATGAAGAAAAAAAACTGGCAAAGATACTAAAGGAAATATATGCAGAATCGAATAATAACAGAGTTCAAGAGATAGATAACTTAGATGGGACAATATCACATAATAACTGTAAGAATGAATCTACTTTCCAATTAAATGATGAAATAAGTACAGGCAGTCTAGATTCCTCTGAAGCAACTGGTACTTCGGAGGAAAAATGCAATCAAGACGGCCAAAATAATGTTCATGATACATTAGCAAATGAGCGGACTGCAAAAACTGCTTGCCCGTTTGATAGTATTGAAAGTAATTACGCTCAAAAATTAAAAAATGACTCTGTAAAAGAAAATGGTGCAAACAAACAGAAGCAAAAGAGATCTGCAAATGGTGTAAAAGATGATTTTAAAGCTAAAAAACGAAAGCAAAAGAAGACTAGCGATGATGTAAAATTGATCAACGGAGTTGCTGATAGCATTATTAATAAGATCATTACGACCATAGGAGCTAAATATGGCTTACTAAAGGTATCAAATGATACCACTTTCATAGATAAAAATCGCAAATTTTTAAAGAAAAATATTAAGGCCTTAGATGCAGCTCCTTCACCTTCGAAAGTGATTGATGTCATAGCCGAATTATTTTCGGATCGATTGCAGGAAATCCATATGTCATATTTGAATATTATTTGGGACCAAATTACTAGAGGTTAATATATACTGAACATCCTTCTTTCTGATGATTTAATTTATTATACGAATACTGGCTAATCATGGTTGACTGCTGCATACTTTTATGATGAATTATAACCATGCATTTATTCTTGTTACAGAGTCTAAAGTAAAATCCTATTCAAAATTTAATGCAATTCATCATGAACATAATTATTTCAAAAGTACTTCTGACTTTTTCTTACCTCCAGAAATTAAGGTATAATATTACGATCGTGAGCTAGTTGATGTTTGTTTTAAATAGTCTGATGTAAAATTTATGAATTACTACCGTGCATAACTACTATGATATTCCTTTGAAATATTTTAGATTTTAACGGAAATGAACAAAAACTTAGAGGTACAAGTAAAGATTTGTGACACTGAATTATGTGAAGAAATAGATAAAAGAAAACGATATATCGTAAGTGTTGCGTACTTTCGATGTCATTAACTTATCTTTAGCTAAATATTCTGTCGCGGTAATTTTTCACAATATTTTATATTACAACGTCATAGATTGACAATTGTCGACGAATCCATAATTACGATCCTTTTATTAGCACTTTCTTGAAAATGTTAGCGGATACTGATTCACTTTCGGAACTAGTAGAGCGTAATTGTGAATTAAGCAAGCGTCAAATACGTTACGGAAAGAAATCTCTTTTTAACACTCCCAGAGGACGTACAAATAAACCGAAATCTATCAAAAGAAAAGGTAAAGGCTCGGAAATATGAAACCGGATTTCAATATTTTTACTCGGTCAAACCTCGCGGCTTTACGAATTTTTCTTAATTTTGTAAATTGAATCTATTTTATGTATACTTTATCATAGAGGAGATATCTAATAGCACAAAGCGAGCGTTTTCGAGTGTATTCAAAGTATACAATTGTACATATAAACCATGCATACACGCAACTGCATTCGAGCGTAGCCACACTAAGCATTTGTACATATAGATGGAAACCTTAAGTATACATAACTGCAACAGCAGTTAATGGCTATGACGCTCTAGCTTACTAATTAAATCTGCAAAATGTATGCATGTAACAGATCCACACCGTAGGTTTGTTTTTATTTAAGATTAAACGATGCCAAAATATAAGGTATTAACTTACTAATATTAGAACCTAGCCATACCGTGATAAATTAATGATGGATGCTTTGCTACCACCACTTTGACTGACTCGCTTTTGTATATTTTAAGTTCGAAATTCCTATCTATTTATTGGCTCACTATGTCAGTACAAATCCGATGTTATGCATTACCATTAGCTCCATATTAACCATGATTCAATACGACAAAGTCTAACTATGATCAATATGATTGATAGATATATCATACAATTGGAAAATTGTGTTCAATACAATCTTTTATTATGATGATGATCTAGTTTGACCCTATATATTATTTCTAATTATATCGCATTTATATATTTCGGCCAAAGAAATACTATTCTATATATCAGTTTTAAAACAAAATCTTCATAATTTTGGACTCCGTAACAGAATTGTTACTATCACATATTCAATGATAAAGGGATATTCTATGCAAAACTATCCGAAGAGAAAATTTTACGATAAATAACATCGATTACATCTTACAAAGATGTTATAAAATAAAATTCAAACAATTTTTGCTTATTTAAATTCACTGTTGTGGCATTTTTATGCTCGTATAATTAAATTATTCGATACAAGCTATACGAAATATTAGCATGAAATTCCATATCTTCTACTACTACTCAGTTTGTTGAATAAGTGATGCAAGTTTTTCATCGGCGAGCGAATTTTTAAACCTGTGCAGCATATCAGTACAACATGAATCTATGCACAGTTGAGCCAAACCGATAATCTTAGAACAATCTTAGAATAATCTAGAGTCAAATCACCGTCATAGCGTTCTGTGCAATAACGTTGCCATACCAACTGTTCACGAAGCATTTAAATGGCATATAAATTGATGTAATTATCTAGTTATTTGTCAGAGAAATGTAGTAGTTACAAGTGCCCATACGCAGTCACAAGGCCAAGACATCCGGGCCCACACATAAGAAATAGGACTACCACAGTGAATGATATTACTTTCGGAAGCGAGCTGTTTATTTGACATATGTCATTCAATATTATATGTCAATATTTTTTTCCCACAATACTGTATTATTATGATCGCATTACAGTTACCAAAATTGAAATTATTATTACCCAGACATATGAAATTCCCTAGGCTAAAGAGTAAAAGCAGAGGTTAATTTAAAGATATCCTTACATTGCATTACCGGCTAGCGATAAAGTTAGTTGACAACCGTAACAGCATCTCATATTGTTTTTCTTAAGCTATTAAGACGGAACAGTACTAAAAATCTCCATAGTCTTTATTTGCAATACCAAAAAATAGTTGATAATACAGTACATTTGCATTAAAATTAAGAAACGTGCAATGCATTCGTAATATTATTCAATTCTTTCTCTTACGTTACCGATTTAATTTTGGTCACTATCTGAATGATATATCGTGATCGCTGCGACATGCTCAGATAGTTAAATAACAGAATATTAATAGCTAAACAAACTATCGTTGCAGTATATTCAGCTTTTCACTCATCTATACGATTTACTCTGTAGCTATTCCCTCTATAGTAGGTCGAGAAAAATCAAAGATAGAGATTATTTTAACTTATTCATCTCTTTCATAGCTAAATACTATCAGCTGTTGAACTACTAAAAAATAAGATCTGATTGGCTTTATCGTGAGATAAAATCGTTCATAATACTATTGTATATGTTATATACGCTTAGTAAGGTAAATTGAGGTTTGTTACGTATTAATTCACTATCTCACTCGGGTTTATCGGATAGATGCAACATTACAGCTAAGTGTATTTCAAATGGTTTTAGTTGCTAAGGAGAATAGAGCTATAGGTACAGAATCACGCAGAATAACCAACATTGCAAACTAAGGATCGATAGGCAATACACATTGCACAACCTCCCTATTCCCTTGTAAACTCTCCGGTGCTGCGCAGTGCAGAAATTAAGGGTGTGGAGGGATCGTATACGCCTCTCGACCCCGAAACAATAAAAAATAAAAATTTTAGAATAAGGATTTCATATGGCTTTATAATCAATTTTGAAGACTTAGAATCTCATTAATAATTTACAATGTAATGATTAGTACAGACTGAAAATTCCTCCAATTAAATGGTCTAGAATCATTATGAAAATAGAGCAATATTGCTACCATAATAAGATTCGAAAAAACAGCTTTATGCCCAATATTGTTGGCCATGTTACACATTTAAAATAAGAACACTGGTATTATTTTATATTCGTACAGTATATTGTATAATTTATCAAGGTCAATATTGACTTATGGGGAAAATATACAATAACGGTGCCTGAATTTCTACTGAAGAGTTAAAGCATTTAACAAACGTCATGAGTATGAGACAATTACGTTGCAAAGTATAATTAAACATCGATGCAATAGATTGTCGGCATAACACCGATCAACGATCACTTGAAGCAGTGATTCTATAGAAAAATAATACTGGCAAGGTATCGGACTAGTTCTTTCTACTTTGACTACAGGTAGTAATCATGGCTAAAACGTTCAACTATAAAAATTCTACACTAGCTTATCAGGATCAAGGCAATGGATTTCCGATTATTTTTATCGGAAGTTATTTATGTGACAGATCGATGTGGAGAGATCAAGTCGAACATTTATCTAAACGCTATCGTTGTATCGTATTAGAACTATGGGATCATGGACAGTCTGGTCACTTGCCATCTGCATCTACAACATTAGATGAGCTTACTGATGATGTCTGGGAGTTTGTAAGGCACCTTCAATTGGAACGATTTGCTTATATTGGTCTATCGATCGGCGGTATGATTGGAGCTCGACTAGCCTTGAAACATCCTCAAGCGATTGCTGTGTTGGGCTTATTTAATACCGGTCTGGACAAAGAGACTCCGGAAAATTTAGCTGTATTTCCAGCTCTTTTACAACAAGTTGATGAAGCACAAGCTATTTTTCCAGTAGCGGTAGAAAAATTGTCGATGGCCTTTTTCTCTCAAAACTCCTTCATTGAAAATGCACAGTACGTCAGTGAATGGATTGAAGGATTGATTAACAGTGATACTAGAAAAATACCAGGAACTGTTGCTATTGGCCGTGCTGTCTTTCAACGGGCATCAATCCTTGATCAAATTAGTCAAATTCAAGTCCCGACATTATCTTTAACAGGCGATCAAGAATTTATATTCCCTCCGGCGATAGCGGAGGAAATTGCCAGCCGTATTAAAGGAGCAGCATGTGTTATCGTTCCAGGAGCAAGCCACATTTCTCCTATCGACAATCCACAAGTTGTAATACAAGCCATCGAGGAACTATTATCCAAAATATAAACGTCTTTTGATCAGTTTTGTCAGCCGATATACACCCTCCAATAACATAGTAATTTTAATTTATATTGAATAGAACTGGTCAGATCACTTAACAAGATTTTGTGTCTCTTGATAGCCTTTCATGTAGCGATCTTTAAATTAGAAATACGAATAAAAAAATTGTATTGAAAGTGTTGAGTAAACTAAGTTTTGCCATGTGTGATTGTGTTTTTTTTAACTGAAATGTGTCAATAAAGTACAATTAATAGCATTCCTACTGATGCCATAAACATAGTTAGAAATTGAGTTTAGGATTTCTAATTTGATAATTAATTTCTAGTTTGTAACAACAATTTTTTCTAATGTGGTTTGCTAAAAGATATTGTGACTCTTAAAAGTTTAACTCTTGAGGATAAGTGTACGTTTAACGAATTTACACGTTAAAACGAATATCTCTAGTTTGACAAAGTTAAAGCATTAAAATGTTTAAGCTGTTAAGAGAATCGGTATTATGAATATTTATATAGTGAAACGTCTCTACCATTTCACTTGAACTTCTGTTGTAATCTACTTAACCTTGTCAGTACGTAAAGTTATCTTTCTCTAGTTCATAATGACAGCTAAAAGCAAATTGTATCAGTATATTCAGGGATTTGTATTATAGGGTTTACAGCTTATGTAGTGTTATAGCAATGGTAGCTATTTCAATTCTAATCATGTCTACAGATCAAAAGAGTAGAGCATGTTACTATAAAGTCATTAATTTTCATAAGATAGAACTCGCCATATAAAATATTTATGACTACATGACTAGCCAAGCCAAGCCTAGTGATATTAATAGCCTATGAGATACTAAGAACTTCCATTTATTCACCTCGTGCTATAATTTTAACTTCTAGCTTACGTTAAAACATAAAGGATGCAAATTACAGCAGTTCTAGACACAAAATACCCTGACTCATTCCGGACAAAATTAGTTGATCACAAGCTCTCTAGTTTAATGACAGCATAGTGTAGTTTTATCTTATAACATTTTAGTCACTAAAACGCTATGCATTAGTTATAGATAAACTCGGTAGTCGAAAAGGTACGGTAAAGTATCATTAAGTAATTGCACATGCATGATCAGTGCACAACAGACTACGAGTTGTTTGTAGCTACCTTTCAACGAAGAAGAGAAGCACGATTAACTACAGTTATTATTAGTCAATTCGAAATCTATGTAAAAATGATCTGATTGCAATGATTCTACAGTAATAAATATACGAGCGTATATAATTAATGGATGTAGTTGCGATTTTATTCAATAAGGAGCACTCTAGCATCGGATTAAACGATTTTACTTTAGCAATCCTTATCGTAATGTTAGCTTGCGTAAATTGAATACGTTATTCTGATTCCATTAAAACTACTAGACGGAAAATTTAAATCAAATCCTTATTGTGCACTATTTATTTTACCATATTTCACCAAGTTTTAACGGTAAAACTGGTATCTACCAATTCCTAGTAGCAATACCAGTATTTAAGTCAATGGTCATTTCGGTTCGATTTTCATCAAGGAAATCAATTACAATTAAGAACAGTAACTACCGGTATACGAAAGTCTTGGAGGGCGATATAATTTGAGCTGAGATGTCTTTGTATGATTTAATTATTCAATAAATGAAAAATTAATCTGCTTTTACGAATTACTACGTTACTCTTTGCCAGCGTTTATCAATTTCGTGTTATAGTTCGTATACAAACTACAGTAGATAGATTATTAAAAGTATTTTAAGAAACTTCAATGCCTTCTTGTATTGCCACGTCTTGCCAAAGTTTGACTAGAAATTTCTTGACACCGGTTAATTCCTACTTATTAGTAAAAAGCCATTGAAAGTTTCAATCTTCAATACAAGGAAATTAATTAGCAATTAAAAGTAATTCGTAACTACTGTATTTGAAGTGCTGCAGTGGTGTAAAATTTGGCTGTATCATTTTGCTATTACAGATAGTTAACGGAATGTCTTACTTCAGATTAATTGACTTCCGGTACTAAAATTTTTGAAGAGAGTCCAACACCTCAAAGATGACTACCGTAAAAGAGCCGTAATCCATACCTAAAAATCATGAACTTAATTGGGAATAATAAGTTAACAATCATAACGATAGCTTGGATATCAATAACAAATGTAATTTAGCTTCTCTCAGTATGAATTTACTTCTATATCGTCATTGCGTTATTACTCGTACGCTTGCTGGTACATTCAACTATAAAACTATGAGAGCATTTATCTTATAAGATGCGCTAAATGGGAAATGTCCAGAGCAATCCACTGGTCAGTAATCAAAATTTGATTTCAGAGATCAATGGTAAAATAATATTTATTTTAATACTATTCTCTTTCATGCTATTCTTTATATGGCTCCAGAATTATATTATCGTTTGATAAATTAACAATTGGAATACCCATGTACCCATCGGAAGCGTAGTAATCTACATCAATTCAATTCTCATATTGTGCTATAAATATCAATTGGTTATCTGAACATATGGCTTAGCATAATGATCGCAGCATTTCTTTATATCACAGGTCAAATAGTAGAGAAGGGCTTTATCCAGTCATTCTTCTGTTGTAATCATACTCTTTTGCGAGGAAAGTCAAGCGAATGGTTCCGAGTTATATCTCAATTTTTTTATGTATTTATAAGATCTAATTGTTTTCGGCTACTATTAATCGGAAAAAAACTACTTTCAGGTGTAAGCTCTTTATCCGATTCTCTATTACTGTAATTATAATCTTCAGTTAAAAAAATTTAGTAGCCAGTTCTTGGCTGGAGAGAGACAGCAACTATTTTCCCAAACTTCAACATCTAGTTATTTCATAGCTATCGCTGATTCAAACATCATATATCAGGAATACCAACTCTTTCTTTGAACACTACTCTACTGTAATTGGAGAAAAATCTATAGTTCAGAATCAAGAAAATAGTTCCAATTTTATAACTAATATCCATCTGAACATAGATGAGTATTAAATAAGAGTGGGTTATCATTCTATTTGTTTGAGAAGAAACTATTTATTAGAAAATCAATCAGTCAGCTTCAGCATTGCAACTAACATTAATTTGAACATATCATGTTCAAAATTTAAATACTTTATTTTATCATCCTTTCGCTGCAATTGCAGAGAATACTTTTTAAGAAAGCCAAATAGTTAACATTGCCTTATAGCCTTGTAATCCATTAAGTTACCTTATTATAAATTCTCTATGATCCAATATTTTTTGTCGCACATGATATATATTATCGATTCGAATAATTGTGTTAAAAATAAGGTAGTTCATTCTACAATCCTTTTTTTCTACTTGTAGAGAAATATTCAATTGGAAAAGTATTTACTTCTGGCTTCTAACTTTTACTTTGCTAAATTTACAGGACTTTGGATGCTTTTATAGGTATTGTCGATTGGAATATACTACACAAATTATTAACTTAAATTATCGGCATAAGATTTGTTAAATCTAAATAAGTTACTATGTTGCAATGGAACAATCGATTATGGAAAATAAATGTAGCATTCATCATATTAGTCACTACCCTGAAAATGACTGCAAATTGCAATGCATGGGCTCAAGTGAATAATGATACAAGTCTTCAATCTTGCCATCCATGTCGGTTACGTTTGGTAGCAGATGATTACTGGCGATTTCGAGAAATTATCCAAAGTAGAATGGTCTATGTTGTCTACTTTAATCTTCTACAAATTAATAATACACATCTTTATTCAGTCAATAAACGGCGTGAAGATATTCAATTTGTCTGGGCTAGATTAGATTATGGCAAATCTCTATTAACACTGCCCATGGATTATATCGTCTTATCCATGTATCTTCCCTTTATATTTCAAGATGAATTAAATCTACAGCTACAAGACTATCCATCTGGATGCTTTCACTTCCTAAGCGATCATTGTCAGCGGCAATTAATTACTGAGACATTAATGGGCTTTACTCGAGTTGATCTTGATTGTGATGGAGGTATACGATGTGGTACAATTTGCCAACAAAATGTAAGCCTATTACCTGGTGAGATACAGCCCGAAATTAGCTATCACTGCTGTCAAAAGATCAGAAATCGTAATGACTGTTCTATTCCTGAAGATCCATCTAAGGAAATTTATGTATTTCAGTTTTTAGCGATTATTTTAAGCATAATTTTCGCTGCAAGTATTACCTCATGGTTACTTTCTGATTCGTTGATCAATACTGTCGTGTAAGTACGATATGATTTATACTCTTAAATGTTGGATCGACAATAAATAGTTTAGTACTTATTAGCTAAGCCGTAGAAATCAATGTATGCCAGATCGATTTACACGCATATGTAAAGTTTTAGGCTGCATTTTATTAACAGTAAAAATTTTCTCGAAAATTTTTGCAGTATTTAAGATAGATCATATCCAGTTTCCAATAGCATTCTATCAGTTTCATAGAATCCATGCGATTGTGTAATATATCAACATCGATAGACTTGTATATGTCTAAAAGTAAAACTAACTCAGTTAGCAGGTAATGTCTAAGGGAATTTAATCTTGTCGATTTCAAATTAGATACCGAAGAAATGATGAATGGCATCATATTCGGGCTTTAAAATTGCGTCTACTAACAGCTCAGGAAGAAAGTACAAGCTGGAGAATAAAGAGACTTTTGAATAAAGTCTTTAATTATTGCCCAAATCATCCTCTTAATTTTATAATTATCAATATTCTATCATTACTGTGTAGTTTGCTTTCAATATGGTCGCAATTATATCCTTATGTCTTTCAGCCGTGGTCTTTGGCTGATCATTTATCAATACCAATTTTAGGCTATGCCGCCTATTTTACAATATACACTTTCTATACTACCGCTACCTTTGTCGTCTTGTTTCCATTTTTATCATTATGTGTATCGGATGGGCAACGACGTTTGAATGCAATAGCAAATAGCAGCTTAATATTAAACGATGGCCAATTTAGTCTAAAATTATTATTAATGAAGCAATATCAGTGCTGGAAGGCTTTATTATCATGTCACTGTCAGCATGTCCAGTTAGTGATTTGGAATTTAATCAAATCTCTCATTTTAATATTAATTACCTTACCCTTTACGATAATAAACGAAATACCGATGATATCCTTCATCTTTTGGAAAGCCACTACCTTAACGATGACAGTTGGTGAAATATTTAAAGCTCAATGTTATGAATCCAGTTGCTCCCAATGGTTATTTTATTTATATTATATATCTGCATTACTCTATGTTTCTCTCTCTGTTTTGGGGTTTTGCTTATTTTTCCAATTCTTATCACGTTTAATATTGACAACCATTGCATTTGTTATAGCTTATGCCAGTTACTTTGCTGTTTATATTGCATTAGTGATTCCATTCAGTTATCTCTGCTTTAAGTTAGTACATTTATATTCTAGTGAGAAAATATCATTAAGTGACGATATTATTGGGCTTGAAAGTGAAGTTAATGAAGAACTAAATAAGTTACTGACTGCAGATGACGGCCAAGTAGTTGTTTATTTAGCCATTGAAGATGGCCTGGTGGAAGTTGATGTACCAGAATGTTTCAAATGTATTCAACAGCAGTTTCGCGATGAATTAATTTATGCAGTCTCACATCAACCGATGAAATTTGCTAATGGTGTCTATAAATTGACTGTTCACTTTGTCAAGGAAGAGCAAGGCAGTTATACGGTGACAATGTCAGAATTAGGTGAAGAATTTGATGAGTTAGAAGAAACTATTAAAAGTGCTCTAATGGAACGAAGTAATCAAAATTTACAAGATAAAATCCGTCAAGTTTACTATCAAATTATAGATGAAACTGTTGATCATCAGCGTTCTACTCATCACTTTAGCTGCACTCGCCCTATTGGCATTCCATGTGAATTATATCATTTTCTATCAAGTCATTCACCTAAAATTACTACCAATTTATGGACGCTAGGTTGTCGCCTAATCTTTACGTTAATTCTACTAATTGCTATGATTTTAGGAGTTAATGAATTTCAATATGGTAATAGTTTCACCGCTATGACTGCTACATTTACCGGTATAACCATTTCATCATCATTAGTCTATCTAATTGTCAAGTATATCCAGCGTAGTAAATTACAAGGCGAAAAACGTAAAGATCTTATTAAAAAATATCTCGTTGACTATGCTAGAGGCTACCGATTCTTTTATCAGCAAGGTAATCCTATTAATGCTTATACCGATCAATACAACCAGACTTTATCACTGCATCAATCTCCATCTTTGGATCATTATCAGACTGCGTAATGGCATTTTATCTTCAATTCCATGTGATCTTAAATTTTATTTTTAATCCTTTATACAAAAGCCAAATTTTATCAACACGGCTGTAATGTATCCGGCTGAGGACAGTTTCTAAGAACACAGAATTATTGGCATACAAGTTACAGCTGCATTGCTATTACTTACATTATGTATGGCATCAAGTGCGTTATAATATCTCCTAATATATCTTATCATTAACACTATCTTTACTGTCTTCCTACACATAATAACGGCAAGCTACATCTATTAATAGATGTTAGTATGTATAGTAACATTCTATCCTTAGCTCAATTTCATTTCTGAATTTATTTTTTAAATCGCAATATTTCGTACTCATAGCTAAATTGCATCAATGCATTATGTGCCATCTTTTTGACCATTTTAGGCTGCATAATATTAGTCTATTGTAGTTTGATTTTATCCTTGAATTTTATTCTTACATGGCGACCATACTTGTAAACAAAAACGAGATCAGCACACCAGATTCCATTCCTTGATCATGATATCAATTTGCATGATTCTAATCTATCTCTAAATTTATTCTTAAACCACATATATCAACGCATCAAGTCCTATCTCTTGATCAATTTATAATGTCGTACTTAAATATCATCTTTAAATTTATTCTTAAATTTTGATTTTTATTACAATAAGATTGTATCGACGAATCAGATATCGTCTCTCAATGAAAACCAATCTGCAGAATAATATTGTTTAGTAGTTTGATTTCATATTTGACTTTATTCTTAGGATATAGACTCGATCAACACAATTAAATTCAACAACGTATCCAACGCTATCTCGTGATTATTATATTATTATCATTTTATCATGATATCTCTTAATTCGTCGTCTTTTCAATTTTTCATCTTTAATTCATACCCTTCCTACGTTCTGAAGAAGCGGGTGACATTGAACATTTACTAACGAAAATGATTAATCGCTCTAACATGAGTTGGTATATTATTCGTTAATGAAAATGTTTACAATTAAAATTGCTACTGCATCGCTATATGAAATTATGCATTGTAAAAGTAAAATTAGCTCTTCTATTCCTGTATTTCTGTTGCTATTCTTAGGCATGAACAACATGACTATTAGCGCAATTATTATTAGGATTATCTTAGACTTAAAATATTGAGTCATGTAATGTAATCATCTCTTATACTTGCATGCTTATTGTCAAAAATGTCTACAAAACTGGGCGCTATAGCTGTTTCAGTTTATCTTTGCAGTATTGTAAAGGGATGAACATCTCAACCCCATTCCTTTCTATAACAAATTTCTATCAGTATAGAGTCTATGGCATTATCACTTTCTTAACAATTAACTTGCAACCTAGATTACTGATATTGGTCAATGTGCTAGAATGTAATCTGGCATCAAATTGCAACTACGTGTGGTAGACGCTCAAAGTGCAACATATGCATTACATGAGCAATCTTTGCATGATTAACTGACTCTGCTAGATTGTTCATATATCATTAACGCTATAATTATTTTACTATCAATACTATTCACTTTAATTAAAAGGCAAAAGATAGCCTCTGTAATAAAGTACACAATATGCAGTTACCGAGCATGAGAAATCAAAATATCTACGTAAACTAGGGTTCATTTCAATGTACATCAACTACCAGAGTCCAATATTTTAGATATTCCTTAAAACAGTTATACTCTGTGGAAATTGTATTAAAAAATCTGTCTTGTTAGTTTTGTCATTATGAAATGGCATTTTAGAATTTATCTATGTTTGCTTCTATATGTACAATATATAATTCACTTAAATTTTATTCGTCTATAGTTATCTGAGCATCTACAGAGGCTCGAATTTGTACGATATTTTGTACTGAGAAACAAAGAAATGAAGTAACGTGATAGAAAGCCTGCACAACTCCATAAATTGCTAAAAAGGGAATGTAGTTTCTAGTAAAGCAGATGCTCATTAGTACGGTGTAGAAAAGTTCGATTTACATCCGTAATTATAAATTGTTGGCTTAGTTAGTTTAGCAGCTTTCTATAAACCAAGATCTTGAAGTTTATGAAATTAGTCTACTTTAATGGGAAATATGCCTTCTACTAGGAGAATATTGATTGATAAACTTTATAAAATTATCCTTATGTAAAGGGTTGCCTTAAAGGTTATGATGTTGATTTGTCTTAATAGGAAATATGCCTGCCAATAACAAGGGATTGATTAGTACAGGTTGAAAATTTCATTTCATCCTTAATTTTGGATTATTAGCTTTGTAAAATTATGTAACTCTATACGCGAATTTCAAAGGTTATAAAGCATTAGTTTATTTTCGTTCTCAAAATATTTAAAGCTTTAATTTCACTCTTAACCTTGGATTGCTAACTTTATAAAAATTTTAAACTCTGTATCTTAAAGGTTATAGATTGCAATATTAACCTGTCATTGTTCTCGAAGGTGATTGAACTTTGGAACACTATTTTTTATAAAATTCTAAACTCAATACACCTTATAAAAGGTTATGGGATATAACCCTGTCTCGAGGATGATTACATAACTTTCATGTATTCTAATAACAATGGACAGTCAGTGTAGATAGATCTTTAAGGTAAGAGAAAAGAAGAAAGCACGTTCATAGTACAGAAAGAAAATATCATTATAAGCAACTGCGGTCCTGCTGTACGTTCTACAGTATCAGTGTTACGTTTTCGAAACTCCTCTACTTTGTAATAAGGAAGATTTGCTAGAAATCCCTAGACGAACCCAGTAGAGCGAGAAAATTGAACTAAACTTCATTGTTCTTAATACTATACCGTTAGCAGTCGAACAAAGCTAGCGGTTTACTAACGGCATGTTACAAATACCATGGGTACGGTATTGAGTTTGATAGTCTTTCGTCATTACTCTAATTATTGATATGGTCTTGAATCTTTCAGTGGACATAGTTGACAGACAGACACAAATTTGTTGAAAAGAAATTCAAATATTACTTCTAAAAGCCTCTCAACTCTAAGCATAGAGTTCAAAATGAAACTATTATTCCTGTATGGTTTTAAACTGTTAAAGTATAGTATTCAATGGTGAGTAAGAGAACAGCAACAAGGCTTTCTTTGTCCTACTACAGTTCATTACAGCAATGTAGCAGGAACTACTAAAAAAAGATTTTCTTTTCTCTCTTTCTTTCTCTTATTAATTAATTATTATTATACAGTACTGTACTGTATGAATCTTGAATGGAACTCGTAGGCTTACTGTCCAGTCCAGTATCGTAGTCAGAATGTACTGTACAGTACAGGACTAAAGTGCAGTGTACAGTACAATCCACTGTAATAGCGTATTGTTACTGTCCAATCCAGTACAGTATCGTAGTCAGAATGTACTGTACAGTGTACAGTACGTACATTGTACAATCCACTGTAGTAGCGTACTGTAAACAGAGGCAGCGATCAAAGAACAGACTGGGATATGACGAATGTTCAGCGTCGCGTATAGTACAGCAATGAGGTATTGCGTACTGTACGCGACTGTATATGACTAGTGTGGTGCTTCCATTTCTTTATTCATTTCACTTTTAGGCCTTTTAGCCAAACAGAAAAGAAAGACCAACGCTACCAGCGGAAATATTGCGGATGAGATCGCTTCCATGACGTTATTTGAAAATTGCTATGCTAGCTAGTATGGAGAATTTGTGATCAAATTTTCACAGAACGCAAGATAATCTTCTTCAATGGATGCCGTAGTCAAGGTAAGCGATTTGTTTTGATACTGACCGTTGTACATTCTTCTGGAGTGGACTGTGCTCAATAGCTAATTAATTCTTGACTGGTGTAAAGTCAACACTAGTGCCTACGGTACGTCAATATACCCAGTCCTGTACTTTATTGACAACGCCACATTGGATAGCCTTCAATATTTATTGTATCAGTTATATCACCATTTCAAACTGGGGAATGAATTGCTATTTCAGTGGAAACTGATGTATTCTATATCAATCAATTATTCTACCACAGTTTAGCCCTTTTTTATCAGTAGATTTTGGACCCAAATCGGTTTTATACGAAACAGTAAATATAGAACGCAAGTCAAACAACTATTTGCCTATCGATAACAGACAGTGTTCACTGAAAACTTGCTTATGATTGCATTTCAAGTGGATGTCTAGTAGAGATAGAAAGTATTAAAATTCGGATTTATTGTATTGTAAGACTATAAAGCTTCCTGCAGAATTATATGGGAGCAGTATTCTCCAAGCAGGCATGATCGCTTTTATGCAACATAATTCATGGAGTATCGCTAGGGTTCAGTATAAAGCAGTAGTACTGTACGCGTACGTAACCTGCTGGTATGTAGTTTCCAAGAAGTACCAGTTCAGCACCAATACCTTTACCTTTAATTACTACAGTACAATACCCAACATTTCCTCATTAGCACTATACCGTAAGTACTGTACGGTACAGTAGAAAAGCAACTTCGTCATCAGCTGCTTACGCGATACGATATACTTTGAACAACGCCATGAACTTGGGTGGCATTAAGGAAATTAAACTGTGTAGGCTAAATCAACCTCCAAGCCGATAAAATCTTATATGGAGATGTAGCCCAATAACTCATATCGATTTTCAACAGGAGTGTTAACAAATTGCAATATTCAATGTTCCACGCCATCGAAGTTAATCGCGCTGTACTGCGCACTCAGTGTACTATATGGACGGGCTAGTACAGCACTTAGACTCGACTTGTACTTTGCATCACTGTTGCACACTTGAAATTCAATAACTACTTTGACTGTTAATATAAATTCATCAATTAATTTGAACTAGAATTGTACAGCAATTGGACTCGACGTGTACTTTGCATCGCTGTTGCACACTTGCAATTCAATAACTATTTTGACTGTTAATTCATCAATTAACTTGAACTAGAATTGTACAGCAATTGGACTCGACGTGTAATTTGCATCGCTGTTGCACAATTGAAATTCAATAACTATTTTGACTGTTAATATAAATTAATCAATTAGTTTGAACTAGAATTGTACAGCAATTGGATTCGACGTGTACTTTGCATCACTGTTGCACACTTGGAATTCAATAACTATTTTGACTGTTAATATAAATTCATCAATTAGTTTGAACTAGAATTGCCACGACCAGATTGTATTCCTTCATATGCCTAATAGAGTCCATAAACACAGATTATGAGTTTGAAACAGTTTCATTGATAAAGTCTTGAGATCTTCTCATTACCAATGATCATCAGAGTCAATTTGAAATATTGCTTGCCTGCTTGAATAAATGGGCCAGTAGTATACTGTATACAGTGTTTTGAGTTTTGTATAAACGTGCTATCCTCTACAATTATGTAGACTAGAATAGTGCAATCTCGATTGCTAGAGGTTATAGCAGTACAAACGCAAGTAAACTGCCAAAATTCAACGAATATGACAAAGTCATTAAATTGAATGTTGTCATCATTTCCACCACTATGGCTTAAAGGGAATCCATGGTGTCACAGTCGTAGTAAAATAAAATCGCACCCAGAACCACGCATGCTATGTTTAGAACAAATTGAAGAATGAGATAACAAGAATTTAATTTTCTTCAAGTACCAATGATACTGTACACAAAATTATGCATTAATATAAAATGCTGCATTTCTTTACAGTACATTAGTAAATGTAGGTTAGCGTAATTATTTATAAGGTAGATGCATCCCTTGTACACGTCATACTTACTTAAAATCTTCAGCTAGAAATGAGAGTAAAGGATACCATAGGCATAGATTGTGGCATAAAAATGAATATACTGTAAATGCAAGCGATTAATGTAACCCATTAATGTAATACAGTGAACAACGATGCCATGGACACTAATCAAATTTGCTAGTCCATTAAGAAAATATGATTTTCAACTGAATGAAGAGAGAATTGAACGTAATTAGGAAGAAGTATGACTCTTTGGTACCGATACATCGGGTTCATCATTTTTAAGGATTCTTTAGGAAATATCCAATAAAATAATCTATTACGCGTATAATGCTATTAGGTATTAATCTCGCTTCACGTACATTATGCAAACTAATAAAATTTCAAAAGCTAACCTTTTCCAGATGAATCGGACTTCTGTAATTAACAGCGACGGATAACTTAAATATCTCGAGATGCTTTCTGTTAGATAGCCTATTAACTTACAATGCCTCGCAACTTGCAACTAGTTCTTCGACATCTGATTAAACATTTCAGACTTTAGTAGCAGCAGTCGAGATCATTCGAAAATTACCTTCAGATATCGGTATAATATTGCAGATAAGATGGTAAATTTTGATATTACTTCTGAAGTCAAAGAGATATATAGAAGTAGATACAATTTATGTCAATTCTTCGCAGTATAGTTATTTGGGTAGATAGTAATTCTAATCCTTATTTACCTCCTACTATTGATAAACTGCAATTTTTGCCTTTGTACTTATGATTAATAGAGGAACAAAGCAATGGAAAAAAGTGAAGGCTATAAAAAGGAAACGGAATATTTTTTTAAATCTCAATATATCCAACGTAGAAGATGCTCTTGTATGTTTCTAAGCTGTCGTAATGATCTTCATAACTTAACTAGCACGAGTTATGAAATCGAAGGCAGGAAAGGCTCTCTACCGGACCATAATCAAAGAACTTTTATTCTTAAGCGTTCATTTACATTTAATGATTTAACATTAATTCGTCAATGGCAAGATTGGCAAGACCGTTGGAAGAATGATAGAAAGTTTCTCTATCAACAGAATCGCTTGAATCATCTTGCCCCGTCCTTGAAGGATAATTTGTCAATGCCTACGTCTTCAAAGATATTCTCATCGAATCATGGTATGGTGAACGAAGCTGCTAGCTGTGATGTTGATGTACTAGATTGTCGTCAAGGGCAGTTTGAGCAACAATCGATTAATGAGAAAGGTTACTTCATGAATGCGGAATTTACGAAAGAAGGGGAAATTTTGCCAAGTCTTAAGGATTATGTTTCAAGTCGCTTAATTGTTTGTAAAGGAAATGCCGCTCTTTCAAGTTCTTTCGATAACACTATTAGCAATCCAGCAGGAGAAGATAATACAAAGTGTTTCTGTAATAATGTGTAAGTTACCAATTATATTATCACTGTAGCCATGAATTGGAGATTATGGTGGGACATCACCTACCAACATAAAATGACTACACCACTGATTGAATTCTTATTTTACCTTCCTCTGTTGTAATTTATCTTCATCGTAATAAAATATAGGATTATAGTAGCTAAATGTCGTAGAAATTGCGTTCAGTTCTTTGATAAACGGGTAATAGTAACTTGCGTGAAATTCGTATATTCTACATTATCAGCAAGCTTTATGATCATTATGTAGTCATGAATTGATAGTATACTTTTCCTAGCGAAACGAGTCATGCTTATCTATCACTAGAAGAATAGTTATTCGATTGAAGAAGTGAAGTGTTTTTTAATTTACGTTTAAAATGATTTTATTAGAAATTATTCACTTGCTAATAATATCAGCATGAATGACGACCTAGCACAGGTAAATACATCGCTTACCTTGTCTTTTTCTGGTTTTCTACATTCTTTGTTAATAATTCTCTTTATGCTTGGCCAATGTTTTATTGATGTATCATTAACGATCCTTAGCGTGAAAAGCAAGACGAATTAACACATAAGTGCGAAGCGACGACGCTATTTCCCGTAGGCAACTCATTTGCCCTGAAAGTTAAGGTTAAAAAGGACTATAAATAATACAAATGTTTCTCTCGGAAACTTAAAATTTATAAAGTATTGAATTTTCGCAATGATTTAGAAATTGGAATCCTGGTTTGATAGCTGCAATGATAATCAACGCAATTATATATTAAGAGGACTCTTAGTAAGTATTAAAATTTGCGGATTTTGAAAGATATCGGAAATTTTTATGGTTCGATTCTAATGATCTTATTTAACGATGGTAATGGTAAAAGGATCGATGTAAAGTACCGCAAATGCATATGTTGTCAATGGTAATGGCCCCTATTCTACATAAGACTTGCCCCTTTAATTGTGAAGATATGTTAGCTTGGCTTCCAACTCATATTGCGCACAAAATTTTGGTATATTTAGATCCAGGTAATTAATCTATGCATTGAATCATTTTATTTGGCTAAGTTATTCTCGTCATGGCTATATTATATTCATACAATTGAAATAAATTAATAACCACTTTACATACTGTCCTGATATTTAATTTTAAATTCAATATATATGAATCTCTATCCCAGTTAGCTTATGTCAATGTTCACTTGTTAATCGATCGTGGTATCGTATGGCAAATGATCCAAAGCTTTGGATTAGATTGTGCAAGTACGTCATACGATAGCAATATGCATATTACATCTTAGTTACAACTGTAAATTTAATAGAAATGCAGTTAGAAGATAAAATGATTAAATAATAGTATATTTATTAGTCAGCCACAGTGGATACCTTCTGAATATGCCAATGTAAAGCGATACGCTCAAGGCTGGAACAATGACCAACAAAATGTACCTGTGAATAATATTCTACTTAATATTAATAAGTGAGGTATTTATACTGCTTTTAAATGTAATATTGGATAAATGCTTAAACATTTTAAAATAGTGGAAAATGATCTTTGGTGAACGCTATCGCCTTTACCGTAACTGGATGAAGGGCTACTGTAGTATTCGAAAATTTGAGGGTCATAGCCAGGGTAATTTTTAAAATATTCATTAAATTTTCGTCGTTGTATATAAGTGAATACGAATATAAATACGCGTATATATATATACTGAATACATAATTATCTGCTTCTAATCCTTAGGAATTTCCTGCGTCAAATTTGATGAGAGTAGAATTATTACGAGCTCATATGATAAAAAAGTTAAGGTAATCAATAACCACTCTGACATTATGTGGTATGCGCTTAATCTAACAGGATGACTATTGTTCATCATATCCTATTTGAAATTCGATAAATTGTTGCACTACCTTAATATTTTGAAAGGTTTGGGACATTCGTACTAATTCACCATGGTCTGCTATGACTCTTACTGGACACACAGGCACCGTTAGGTGTATGGATTTAAAAGAGAATAGACTCGTTACTGGGTCATGCGATTGTACAATTAAGGTATTCAATCCAGTATAACCAGTTTACGGTTGTCAGACTTTAGCTACCTTATTACGCCTGATGCTTTTTGATTTTAACTATTTCTGTATGTCTTAAGTGCCTTACATGTTAATATCTAATTTCTCGTGATTGTATTTGTATATAAGGTTTGGGATTTGCACATGTCCCAAACTTGGAGTAGCGTCGTATGCAGAGCTACGTTATTGGGACATCAGCATACCGTCAGATGTCTTCAGGTGAAGATTATAATTGCTAAGCAGTTACTGTCTTTACTGATAATATTAAGGTTATAAATCATACAATTACTAATAAATAAATTGAAATTCGACAGATGGAAGGTGACTTTGTAATTAGCGGATCATATGACCGAACATTAAGAATTTGGGATATTAGAACTAAGACATGTATGAAAATATTATGGTAATAATACAAAATACTTACTTTCCTTTCGGTTGCAGTAGTTGTAGAAATAACTTATGACGGCTATTTCCTTTAATTTTGTAATCGTATGCACGTGCATTACTGGATTGATACCCGCTATTGCAGGGGACATACAGATTGTGTGCTTTGCCTACATTATGTAGACAATTTGTTGGCGTCTGGTTCTTACGATTGCACTATAAAGGTATATACTCATCGTTACGATCAACAGCTTAAGTAATTCATTTTAGGACAACTTATATCGTAACATACGTATATTGGTAATATTATTGTAATAGATTTGGAATATGCAGACTGGTATTTGTTTGAATACTCTGGAAGGACACGAAAGGGCAGTAACTTGTCTCAAGATAGCAAATGGGCAAATTATTAGTGGCTCTGTTGATCGCAATATAATGTTTTGGGATTTTCGTACCGGCGAAGTATGTAATTAAATGTTCGACTCTCTTTATGTATCCGATACAAATACTTTCAAGATGAAATAGATATTAAAAAGTTGAAAATTTTCTTATAGTGCATCAGAAAATTGGATTGGATCACTTCAGAGGGACATACTGCACCAATCCGGTCATTATCAACAATAAATTGCGAATAATCTAGCATATTTGCATCATTATTTTCTACTCTGCTCTTATATGCTATCGCTTTTTTATAACTAGATGTTTACAAGCTGATCATTGGCGTATCGTAAGTGCAGCAGACGACAAAACTATCAAGGTACGTTGATGATATAGTGTCTTCTTAATTATCTCAGTACTAACACAATATTCTGTTTGTGACTTTGTTACGTGATCTTAAAATTAGGTATGGTGCTTAAAGTCTGGTAAGAGACTTGCGACATTCGTTGGTCACCAAGATGGTGTTACACATTTGCAGTTTAACGATAGAGTTATTGTATCTGGTTCATACGATACAAGTGTTAGACTATGGGATTTTTCTGTTTGTTAATTATAACTATTACTGGGATAATGAATTTCCATTACAACTATATGCCTTTAGTTCTATTAATGAAAATAATTTTCTTGCGTCTTATCTTCGAGGTAGTGAGTAAATCCTATATTATCTGTTTTCCATTTCTATCTATATCAACCTTTCTGTAAATTTTTAATTATATTTTTTAATTCCTAATGATTTACTAACCCGAATCAGATTATCACAATGATCGCTAAAAATTTTATAAGTGCTCATCTAGACAGACTAATATTATTTATAAATTTAATTATAAGTGTTGCTATTATAAAATTTACATTACATATGATCAAACAAAATTCGACAAATTAATTCAATACTTTATTAAGGATGCTATGCACCAATAGATTCACAAAAAGGAATTTACTATTTATATAAAATATCCTACTTGTAAATGATTTTCTCATTCGATAATATAAATTATACAGGTTAGATTTTCAAGTAGTGTTTGGCTACTTCAATTAAAAATTACTTAATGACCAATTGACGACGTATTATGGAATACGTAAATTTTTATATATACGAATATAAACATACGCTGTAGATTTTTCGATAATACGACACGAAACTGAGTGTACATATATTGATTCAATTTAATTTACAATTTTAGACCCGCTAACGAGTATTGCATAATTCTATGCGCATCTGTAATTAATGTTGCCGGTGAGATATCACTAATTGTGTTAGATCAGAAGACCTATGATGGTTGTTATTTATACTTACGATTATTATAGATTGCAATATACAGTATTAGTGGGCACTAAAACATTTTTTGTCATATTTACAAATTGCTGTAACTTCAAATTCCGCAGTTGTATGTAAACCTTGAATGACGATATTGTATGGATTTAATGTTTTCCTAATTTCGACTTTCTGATCAAAAATATCGACAAGAACATCTCGTTGTATTGCCTCATCATCATAAACCTCCATATGTAGGTTCACGTATTTCTAATGGGAGTAGAATAACAAAATTATAGGATTAACTGTTATAAACTGATTTATTAACTTTATGATACCATATTGAAATAAAAAATTATTAGTATTCTGTATTTTTTACCGGTATAGTTTCTGTAAATCGAACTGGAATAGTAAGATAAGGGTAAAATTCTTCATTAGCATCGATAAAAGTCTTATGCGTTGAACGGCTATAGCCGCATTGATCGTTATCGTTTCCAATGCATAGACTAAAAATGTAATCACATCTGGAATCTAAGGGCCAGTAATCACAAGCATTATCGCCAGAATCTCTGCTTCCAGGGTTCAAGTAACGAACCAACTTTACGCGTAATTGGTTTACGTCATGAGCCTAAATAGGAGGAGAAAAAAATGATGAAAATAGGCTATTGAAAGTAGCAATGTGTATTTTCCTTTTCTCTTTTTGAAAATATTTGCTTTTGGATTGATACCGCATGCTACTGAAATTTACACTGTACAATGTACATTCGATCGGATAGCATACGTACCATATATAACAGTATGAAAAAATGATCTAATACTTGATTACGATGCAAGCTATAATAATATTTAAATTACATACTAATTGCTTAGTCTACATTTGGAATGATTGAGAACAAAATCGATTACTTACGTATTCGGGTCCAAAGTAGTATAACGTTTGTTGCTGCGAAGTGATACCTATATAGGAATAAATTATTAAAATTTCGAAAGATGTTATACAGAGTTACTAAATTTTTTATTAGCATCTCCTCTGTAAGACTTTGAGGTAATTGGTATAATAATTCGCTTCATTTTGCAAAATCATTTCATTTGCAACTTTATGAAAAATTCGTTTTTGGCGCTGTTAGCTATAACAATTGCAGTTGATTTTACTGTTACAATGTGATAGTATCCTGATAGAGTGCTAAATTATTCAGTACCAAGTGGATAATTACCTTTAATGCATCGAGGGCCTGAATAACCTTTTGCACAGGTCACTTTAGTTCGTATGTAAAATATACTTTTTTTGCCGAATAGGCGATCAGGAATAGGACCAATATTTCCAGTTAATGGAATATACCCATGCAAAACATCAATATCATCATGTTGAAGAGTATCAAAATCTCGAACAGTAATTTTGATTGGCATATAGGCCTAGGATTATGAAAAGTAGGCTTAATTCACTAACAGATATAGAATTAAGTAACTAATGCTTTGATATTGCCGTTAAATGGAGATAGATACAGGTATATTAGGAGATGAGTAATATTAGCTTGACGTATCTCATGGAAGTTTTCGTTTTCTTATGAATTAATTGAATGTAGCTCAAACGTACTTTAGCTACTAACCCGTTTGCAAAGGTTAAAACTTTTCGATTACTAATTGCATCTCTGCTCTGCTTACATCCAGTATTACCATACTTTTGGGAATTTCGTTTACTGGATATACATATGTATATGTATGAATTTGCATCTATTATATAATTATTGTTTGACTCGAGTTCTTTATTTTCTCGCTTTAACTATATATTTATATTATATTTATAAGTGCACATTATATTATTTAATAATACTGACTACAATATTCTACAGTAACACCTTTTGTGCATGTAGCTTTACCTAGATCTACTTGATTTATGGTTCTGATTTGGCTAAAATTATAAGATGAGGTATTTCCTAGCTAAACTAGCGATTTTAACAACTTTAGCTTATCTATATAAGATATTAATGCAGCTGGCGATTCTATTAGGATTAATTAATTACTGTGCGACATACATGAGAAGAATTGTAACGTAATAAAATATTTATTCTAACAGGAATTCATTAGTACTAGCTGGAATAAGTTAGTATCATCTTAAAATACTGCTAACTTTTAGAAAGAATATCTTACCGGTAAAATGCCATCGATATTAATTCTAAGACGAATATCTGGTCGAGATATGATTTCTGCATTAAAAATTGGTCCAACTTCACGTTTCAAATGTCGACAATTGTGCCCAACACAAATTGTAAAGAGGTAATCGCATTTTGGATTATCGGGATGATGATCACAATTTCTGCTAGCAGCATCCTTGCCATCATAATTATAGTATAAGTTAAGCACGATTTCAAGTTGGTGACGAGGATTTGCCTCAATAGAAGCCTATAAACCATGGCAGTTTTGAAGAATAAATTAACGAATCAGTCTATTATAGTATTAGAAATTACAACCTTTACTAGAAGTGAAAAATTGATAATCTTACAGAATAACTTGTGACCATCACTAAGACAAAAATTAGGCCAAGATGCGAAGTGAATTTCATTTTTGAGTCGAATATCTTATTAAAAATATTAGACTGAACTTGTGTGAAATTTTTTGTAAGATTTATGAAGATTATGAGAGACTGGATTTATATATTCGATTTCATCAGCATGATTGATTTATTAAGCATGAATAAATAAATCAGCTGTTTATTTTGATAGAATATTCTTCGGAATGTCTGTTTACCTGTCTGTAAACTAATTAATTATCATTAATGCTAAATACGATGACTAAGTCTAATTTTAGTGTTGTGGGTTAAAACGTATCTGCGGATACACCCGCGCATACTGTTCTGATAGTTCATCTATTCTGTTATTGTGATTATTTAAGCGATTCGAATTATGACGAATATCTAGACTAAATTTAAACTTGTTATTAATAAAATTCTTGGAGTAAATTGTTGATACAGAAGAAGTACTAACTAAAAGCATGTAGAAGAACATTTCATAGATTACTAGAGATTACACAATATATCATAGACTATCCTAAGGATTGATCCTTATATTTAAACTAAATAGTATTTAATTAAATTTATAAGTAAAGATATCCTATTAAATCGTTATACTATACAAACTAAAGTAGGATATAATTTAAAGAAGGCCTAAGTTGAAATACGTCCGCTACATTGTTTGCAAATCCTCATAATATTTATATTGTATCTATAGTTCTTACTGATTGTGCTTGTTAGCAAGTAAGATCAAGATTTCAACATGGTTACCTAAATTTCTCCCTATTACTATTATTAACGCTGTATATCTACTTGAAATATTACTTGTGATCTTAATCTGCAATGAGTTCATTATGAAATCCTGGATTCGTATACGGTATTATATTGTTAATTAGATAGGTAATCAACTATTCCGTTATATATAAAATCTTTATCATTGATAAATGATGTTGTCTCTAATACTTACAACTACGTGTCAATCTAAGTTATAATTGATGTTATTTTCAATGTACTCATGAATTGACTATGTTATGACCAAAATGTTTATATGTCCAACAGGCTCAGACATGCTTTAATTGCAGCAAATAGAAAACTTGATGTTGTTTATGCCTCTATCAGTTTAGGCTTTTGACTATAACAGTAGATAGTCCAATTTGCCACGTTGTATAAATGAAATCTATCAATACCGTCATTATTTTGGCTATGAAGGATTAAGTGTTTTAGCTAATCCTTAATGCGTCATTGTTACCAAATATCAATAATTAACCAGTACAGTCATCCAATATGATCCGCGGTATGATTGTAATCATAACAAGCTTCCAACCGTGATTTAAGAAAATAAACTATTGCCGACATCAATGATGTAATCATAAATATGAGATGATGTCACCGAGTTAGGATAGATGTAATTATACTATCTTTTGATTGACTAAATAACTTTTAACCTTAAGATACACGCGGTGCTATTTAACTGCTTAACATTTTAATGGGATCTGGTGTTGAAGAATATAGGTATTAGCAAGTTTCTCATGATAGACTAATGTTTAGATATAATGTTGCATCGATCTATAACAGAAACTTACTGAAAATCCTTGCTAGATTTAAATTGCTTTTTGTTTAGTATCATTCCAACGGGATAAAGTTTGTAATAGTAAATAAGCTATCAATATTATCCAACATCCATCGTTAACGTTATTTGATAATTCGAGAATTAAAAAGACTGCTATTATGATTTTCAAGGTAGTTATTAGATAGTTAATATCTCAGCGAAGGTAAACCGTTTGATCGGAATAAAACTTAAACGAAATAAGGCCGAAGCTTCTGCATAATGTGCATGAACTTTAGTGTGCTAAAATGATTTCGTTGAGAGTGAATTATGGCATTTTAGTTAGTATAAAAGTTAGTAAATCTAAGGCAAAATTTTTTAATGATCTATACGTATCTCTGCTTCATAGTTTCTCGTTCTAAAATAATTTAGACTGTATCAAACATGAATTGAGTACTTTGACAATTATAAAGTATTGCAAAGTCTTTTCGCAATTTTAGCGTCTAGGCATAGTTCTGAGGGGTCCTGAATTGGTTTCTTTTTACTGGAATCTAAAATAATTAGTAAAGCGCAAAATGAAAGCTCAATGTAAAATGAGATGCATACGTTAATGATGAAATTCTAACATGTCGATATCGTTTTCATAAAATGAAGGCTTTCAAAATTTTGCATATCTCTGGTTATGTTATTATAGTTTAATAACTGCAATGGAATATATTATTTAGCTATTGTTCATCTTGCAAATTTTATGCCACAAGGAAACTGAGGCTGAACTAAAGCCATACACTGACTTAATTTAGAGAATTTTTGTATTTTTATATCTCACTTAAGGTAAATTAAATCGTGCTGAATAATATATGGTGTTTCTAATATTCAAATCATGATATCCGATATCTAAATATCCCAAAATATTGTGAATATAGTTGAGAAAGCAAGAACTAATTGAAACTCTATATGTATTATATTTAATTTCTATGTTCATTACACATCCCCTGATAAGTTGCAAAAGCTGATATACGAGTAAAGCAATAATCGCAGCTAGTCAAGATGTAAATCTTTGATCTGATATCGTATCTAGTGGGAGTCGAAACTCAGGCACCAATTAACATCAGCCAATGTTCCACTTATATTTATTAAAAAGCGAATTTGAGATCATATGATATTGACAGAGATGCTTAAAGTTAACTGCTCAATAGATATTTTATCTGGCGGAGCCAATTGTGACAAATGCAGTATTAGCAGAAAAGATATTGAAAAGATATCAGTATGTAATAGCAGGTTTACGGTCTTATAAGGCGTTTTAAAATTGATAATTATATAGTCTACATACATAGTTTTTTGATTGAGCTATTGTATTTAGTTAAAATGTAGAAAAATACAAATTTAGTGGCAATAATACATTAATATTCATTATGGTATTTTCCTAAAGACTATTTTTTGGAATGTGCACATATTAATAGAGCAGTTTTGTGACAAAGCGATATCATTAAGTCTTCCTATGTCATAAATTTCAACTGCTTTCATCCATTTATTAGTCTTCAATCCTCCCAATTTCTTGAAGTGACGTAATGAAATTAAAGCTGTGGTCTGTAAGAACATTATTAGATCACAGACGTATTGATACGAGGTGGATTATTCCGAGCTACGGTTAGATGGAAAATCTCGACATTTATTCCACTGTATTAACTAACTGAACAAAAATGAAGCAGCGAATTTTTACTTGATATGATTTTAATTTATATCCAGTATTCAGCTTAGCATTGACTAAATTATGTGTGATATAGTATATCTGACATTTAAGTGATTCCATAATTTAATAATATATTAATGCAACATTTGTAAATAATAAGCCAATCAAATCATAAATTATGGCGCGCATTGAAGAAAAAGCAATGTAGAGATCAACTGCTATTACTTTATAAAGGAATATTTAAAAATTTATGAGCTTCCTTGCTTACAGTAACAGGTACGTTAGAATTCTTTTAGTATAATTATTGGACTAAATTTATCTGGGTGGTCTAACTGAAAGGGGAAAAAAGCAATGGAATACGATGATCCTAATCGAAGCTAAACAGAGAGCAAATCTTCTTCAAGGCCGAAATGTTTGCTATAATCCTCTTTTTGTCACACTAGAATTGAACCAAAAACTTGTAATAAGATTAATCACCAAGTAACAACTAATATTAAAAAAGATTTTTATACTTTAAATATTATTTTGATTACCTTGCCGTACGGCTTGTTGTTCTATTTCTAGTAATTCCATTTGAGATATATAAAATTATTGCATTATTAATTATTAGGATTGAGTGCTGATTAAACACCTCTACTTCATAACCTTAGTGTGAAAGTCGTTAATTATCAATTCGTTTAAATCTTCTCCTATACATTCAACACTCATGATAGCTAGGAATTCAAGTAACAAAAGACTACGCGTATATGTCAATCGCCATTTAGTCGCTGTAAACCATTATTATTTAATAATCTTCTTCAAATAATTGTATAATATAACTGGAAGGTAATCTTGGAATAATGTCCATCAATGGATATTCCATCATCATTGAGACGATGTTAATTACGGGTGTATCCGGCTTTTATGCTTGCATTATAATAAGTAATTTTAGCTTATAAGCAATAGGATATGTTAGCAGATTGCTAATAATGTTTCATTTATGATTAGTAATTGTTTTTATTCTTGTTCTAGCACTCCATATTGCGATGACGATAAAAACAATTCTAATTGACTGTTTGAGATCGCTAATTTATTATTCTCTAAGACGAGGAATAACGATCGAACTAATGGGAATATCTTAGCCCTGTTTTAATATTCATTAAAATAACGACGAGGTAAACTTGGTGCGAGATATCATTCTGTTTACCATCCAGCGAACTAGATCAATTTAATTAGCAAATTTATTGTTACGAAATCTCATATGAGCAAGCTAAGTTGAACGTGATGATATAAATACTCGCATGTCATGATTAATTAAAGTTTAAGCTATTTCACGAAAATAAAATTGTTCATCTGGATTGTACCATCACTGGATCTTACGGATTTCATAAATGCAATTTAACCTATAAGAAACAAGTCATAAGATATTAATTTATTTCTAATGAGAACATGACATACCCTGTTTTATGTTCTGCAACTTTAAATTTCAATTTTAGTTTCATTTTAGTAAATAAATCAATACGTATTATATGATAAAAAATGAAGGTATATCCTTTAATTTGCGAGATATTAATTGTAGGTAGAAAGTAACAAGTACAACATACGCGATCACAACTTTCTGATATTTTAAGCAAAATTGCAATTAAATAAAACCATACAGTTGTTCCAATAGACTATACATGTATAATAATAATATGAAATTAATCCTTTAATCCGAAGGATTTTAAATTGAACCAGGCGGATAATATTTGCTCAATTCTAAGTCATTTTGAGATGTTTCTTTCAATCTTAACCATTTACAGTATGTCAACATGATTTGACATCATGAAAGACACTAATATTTCAAAGAAGGAGATGTTAATGCTGCTTAGAAATTATGACTACATCTGTCCTTGGTTCAACTTTTAAATGTTCTAGGTTATGTTTTAATCTGCCACTGTAAATAAATATTGTTCAAAAACAGAGGGAAAAAATTCTTTTTAATGCAAGAACTATTGATTTTAAGTAAATAATAAGGACCGGCACCTTATTTTGAGTATTTTTTGGATACCTTAGGTTAAATTGTAGCCTTAAAATGGTACATCATTGTATTTATATGATAGAATGGTATGTCAATCAATGGAGAGGTGATAGTAAATAGCCTATGGAAGAAACACAATGATTTTATGAATAATACTTGATAGCATTAACTACAAATAAATTTATCTTCCGTAATCGTACTTCCTTTCAAGTTATACTTGCTCGTATTTGGTAACGTAGTCTTCATCACATACCCCGTAATTTCTTTTTATCCAGCATGTATTCCGAAAATTAAATAACGTCAGTATACGGGGTATCCTAAGAACCATATTTCGTTGCATCCTATTCGTAATATGTTTAAATTGAGTAATAGGAATGAAATTAACTTGTTCATGCTGTAAACATAACTAATTCATAGCCTGACAGAATGGGTTATGTTTGCCAAGTATTCTTGAACATGAATATCTCACATTAAGTAAAGAGCGGACAACATTTATTCATGATCGCTATTTAGTTAGAAGGTCAAAAATGGGATATTATATCTTATTATGTCTAAAATGAATTATTGATGTGGATGCATGAATAAATGATTGGAAAGATGATGATCATGTTCAGATGGGTCATTAATTGGCATTGAGCAAATCGATTTGTATTGATTGTAATTTATCATAAATATTCCATGTTTTTATATTCCTGGATTAACACCGATTCTATTCCAGTAATAGCGTTATAGCTTAAGAATAGGATAATTAGAAGAATATGAATATTCTATTAGCGCTAAATAGATAATGATGTTAATGGGATTCACGTCAGATAAAACTTCGTTGGCAGGGCAGCAATAATAAAAAATGTTATTATCTTCATTTCTATCTATTATATCCTGATCAGCACGTTATACTATAAATCTACATAAATATGAGATACGATAGCCTTTAACTTTAATAGGCAATCATTAGAGGATATTTTAACTAGGTGGGAGAAACCATCAGAAGTCTTTTACTTTTGAACACGCAGTTTCGGTTTGATTTTCGTAGTCGATATTCGATTTAAAAAAGTCAATACCGGTAGAGATATAAAGAACTGTAATTTCTCTTTGTAAAAGTATCCTTTTTATGCTATCATCAGTTATAAAATTAAGTGGTTATTGATGAGATATTACAATCATCAAAGAAGAGAAGAAGTTTACATAATTATGGGTATGATAGTCAATTCTTGGTCACGTTGAAGATTTCTATCGAATTTGGTAAGTCTTTATTGCAACGTATCGTACAAGTAAAAATTGATATTGGGGAAGAAATATCTTACATAGATACAAGGCCACATATATTGTATTTTGTAAGTTTAAAGTATTTCCATTTTAGATCGAGCGCAATAAAGTTATCAAAACGATTATTTTGGCTATAATATGACTCCAAATCGTCGTCAAATTGTTGTTGCTTAAAATTCTTGATCCAACCTTCTTCAAGAGCCGTTATATTGTTTATTATCACGGTTTAAGCTATTCGATTTTCAAGATCAAGTTGACCCATCTTGTTGATTGAAAGTTATTTCGTTGACTATTGTAAGAATATCAAGAAAAAATAGTGAAAATTACTAACAAAGGTTAAGAACTATTTTTAAAACTCAATTACGAGATATAGACAGTGTGGTCTTATCTTCGATGTTATTGAACCGATATTCTATGATCCCTTGATGAAGCATGAGTATCGACGATACGTATCTTCGTGAAGCAACATGGAGTAATATTGTTATTACTGTCATATTTTCATTTCTATTTTTGTTGATTGTTATCGGTAATGTTTTAGCATTATTCGTTATTTATCGACGAAAATCATTACAAGATCCAGCAGGAGTAGCCTTAGCTAACCTTGCTGTTGGCGATCTCTTAACAAGTATCCCATTACTAGGCTCGACCATTATCTTTTGGATCGATGATGCTCATATTAATCCGTTAGCGTGTAAAATATTGGCCTTTATGTCATTTTATCCTTTTACAATTATATTATGGACTACAGCATGGATTACATTTGATCGTTGTTTTGCAGTCTATCATCCATTTAAATATCATCGTATCATTACAGTTAAGACAGTTGTTAGTCTACTCGCCATCGCTTGGATCCTTCTATTAGTATGGTGTATGATTCCGTTATTATCGTTGGGCCATGGTTTAGGGAATTACAACTATGTTAATTATACCCATTCCTGTTGGGTTGATGTGGGCAATTATCGGCAAAATGGAGTCTTTCTATTAATTACTTATTCAGCAGTTTTAGTACTTGTTATTATTGTGGTATTATGTTATAGTATTTTGTTAATTAAAGCGCGACTCGTATTACGACGCATAACTACTATTCCTACTTTTCACTATCCTGCGTCATCATCACTGCCGGCACCAAGTCATAAATCAGTTAAGACAACATTAATTGTTGTTGGTGCATCATTAATGTGCATTTTACCAGCTGTTATCATCATCTATATTACTATCATGTCACATCGTCTTATTTCAGAGCCGTTAATCTATAATTTATTTTGCTTCTGGACATTTTATGTAGATGCTGCACTCAATCCATTCATATTTGGCTTCTCTCATAAAACTTTCCGTCTTGGTTATCGTAAATTGTATCGTCATTTTATGAGTAAATTTATTACACCGCATCATCGAATATATCCTGCAATACCGTCTGCTCCAGCTTCAGTATATAACAGTATCCAAAGTAAAATGAATGATATAGCTAGTAATGGTTACGATTGTTCAACAATCTTTAATTCTAATTTAAATAACGAATAAGGATTATTTTATGCTTATTACATACATTTTTATTTATTAATTCTGTTATGGTGTATCCCTATTTATTAAAAATTCTGAGAAAATTCTTGTCACTGTCATCTTTTAGCCTTTCTTCTCTACTACAAAGGTGACATTTTCAAATAACGCTCCCGCAAAAAGATCTACCTTAGCTAGATAAGCCGTACATGCAGTATATATGTCTTTCATGTTGCATGATCACGCAATCATAACTCATAATTATTCTTAACTTGATTAGACAGTTGATGTGGGTTTATAAATCGATGAATATTCTATATTTATGGCTAGAGACGCAACTGGATTAAAATCTTTTGTTTGACTTTTGCACTCTATGAATTCTGTCTTAAATGCATAATAGTTATACGTAATGAAATCATCTATTTTACTTCTCCATTCTCTACCTTCAATGCACGATATAGTAATCATAAGTTAATGGATTAATATTTTAAAACGACTGAATAAATGGCTTTATGTAGAAGAGTGACCTTGATCGATTTTAAAAATAGAGTAAAGTATCCAATGAGAAGGATTTTAAATCTGTGATACATGATCAATTTTGAGCTTCTGTAACGATATTGACGAAAGTATTGAAATCGAAACACTAAAATAGAAAAGTAAAATCATATACCACGTATTGTCAGTTGGTTAACTACAGTAGCGTATTCATTTTAGGCCACAACATACGTACGTTACGTATGCGAATGTCTGTCTTGATCATAATCACTTTATACATGTATACGAGTATTAATTAGTGATATATGAATACGGGAAATTAACCTTCAATATCTTGAATATTTACCGAGAAGTCAATCGATTTGAAAATAATTTTTACTACTCTCACAGTTTAATTTCAAAGTTTCATAGTAAGATTAGGAAAGAAGTTCACGTATTGCCTTGACTTCCACTTGCCAAAAAGTAACATTGAGCGCGTACACTCGTATACACAGTAGAATCCTTTTGCTGATTGGGTTGGCTAAATCAGTTCCTCCTCATTAAAGGGGAAAGGTTCTCGTATTTGTTAGGTTTTAGATTGCCATTGATAACAAATTCTTCCTACCTTTTTAATTAGTCTTCTTAGCCAGTGATGCTTACCTTAATCGGGAGCAATAAAATCGATCAGTTAATTAGCTTATATTGTAGTGAATTTGCCGAGATCCGACATAATGGAGTTATGATTGGTAGCTGTTCTTTTACCATATGGCTTAATGAATGAGCAAAAGAATTTTTTTTATAAGCTGTCAACCCATCATACCATCAAGCAAAAATTCATTTTCTATTTTTCCTCTATGCTAAAATGTATGGAAGCGCTTTACCAATTATGTTGAGTAGGGATATTCGGGCTGCTTATGGTTTTATATGCGGGCAAAATTGATGTCTAATAAATTGTTTTGCTGAGCATCAGTTGCGCATTAATAGGTATAACTTAGTTAAAAATCCAAATATGATATTTAAGGTAGTCATTCTACAACGGGACTTTGAAAGCAAATAAATTTGCTAGACTTATCTTACAATAATTGCTAAGAGCTTCAACTATGAGATTTTCCCTCTCCCAATTTGGATCCATTGCATTAGTTCTCTTTGCGGGCAGCAAAGAAATTTGTGATTTTACAATGACCGCACATGAAAGATATTTTTTATCTGTATTAAATGTCTTCTAATGTCAAAACAAATCTTGATATAACCGATCCTGAGACATCTTAATGCTACCCAGTGGACGGCTTCGTAAGAACAATTTAACTGGAGAGGATGCAAGTGTAATAGGATTTAGCTTTGATAAGCTATTGCAGTTTGATCCAGTGACGATCAATTTATGATACGTATTTTCTCAAAGCAATTTCTGCCATTAAGTAGCGTAATCTATTTTAGTGGCTAATGCCTCTAAAATTATAGATCATCAGGGGCTAAAGTGCTAAAGATCTTACCGTTCAGTTATAGCAACAAGGAAATGAATGGTGTGTTATTTTATCCTATCTGGATTTAGTTACAACGATTTCTCTCAAAAGAATGCTCAAATACGGATCTATTTTGGACTGCAGGTGTACAGTACAGTTGGCTTAGTGACTTTGTCAGATAATTTCATGTTCAGGCAAAGCGAAAGACGTTTGTTGCTTATTATAGATCCATGGAATCTTCGTAACGATTGGCTTTCATCAGGCCAGTATTTGTCAATAGCGAGTAAGACCATTTAACTTCAGGTATTCGCTTGTTATAACGTAGAAGTAATCCATTTAGGCGCCTTTATCCGATCAATATTCATCAGTAGCGAGTAATTGTAATTTAATTGAATTGAATTATTGCTATTTCCATTGCAGTTGAGCTTATTATTTATTGATGAATTCGAATCTGTACAGTGAATGCTTTTCGTTACAATAGCTCCTACTTTCGTCCGGTTAACCTTTGTCATTAAAGACATTTTAACTAATCCCTACTCTCTCGTTAGGTCAATATTTGTCTTTAGTAAGTAATTAATACAGTAAAAAGACATTTTAACTGCATCTATTTGCTTATTAATAATTATGACCTTTTGGAAAGTGGGCATCCCTCTAAGCAAAGCCTTCTGCGTATCGCAAGGGTAAGCTTATCATGATAGAGTACGCACTGTATACACTACGTTACTTGTATCCTAGTGTTTTTAGTGACCTGTTGTAAGGACTAATTCATCTATTTTCTTTCTAAGCCAAGCAAAAGAAATGCTTTATACTTGTAGATTAAAGCTCTATATTGGTCTAAGAACTAACTAATTCTGCTATTTTCTTTCTAAGCCAAGCAAAAAAATGCTCTGTACTTGTAACTTTTTACTAGCGTAAGGACTAACTAATCCTGCAATTTTCCTTCTAAATCAAGCCAGAAATGCTTCGTACCTGTAGATTAGAGCTTGCAGTATATTGGCCCAATGAGCTAACTCGTTGGACCATTTTCCTTCCTAAACGAAGCAAAAACTGTCTCATACTAGTAGATTAACGCTTTTTATTGATCTAGGAGTAACTAGTTCGGTCATTTTCTCTCCAAACGAAGCAAATGTCTCATACTTGTAGATAGGACGTTATATTGGCCCAACGAGCTAACTCATTCGAGCATTTTTTCCTAACGAATCAAAAAATTGCCTTGTACTTGTAGATTAGAGCTTGCTATTGATCTAAGAACGAACTAATTCGGCCATTTTCTCTCTAAACGAAGCTAAAAAAAATGCCTCGTACTTGCAGACGAGAGCTTTTACTTGGCCTAAGAGCCAACTACTGTAATGCAACTATTGTCTCTGTAAACGAATCGAAAAATGCTTCAAAATCGTGGATAAGAGCTTTATTTTGGCTCAAGAGCTAACTACAATCCTTCATCCATTTATATTCTCTAATTACAGCAAAAGAGGTTTGTACAGTGTGAACTACCAGAGGGTAAAAGAATTTCGTCATCTACAAATCATTGCAAAAAAAGACCCTAATAATTATAAAGTCTTTTTTGAAAGGGTGGCTTCGTTAGATCACTTTCTCTCAGAAGAGAGAACTGTGCCGTGGTAGTACGACACCAACGACCTAGACTTCGTCCTGAGCCAATCTAAACATGTTTGCGAAATGTTTATAAACTCATTAAAAATAGTCCTGCCTTTGCTTATGGTACAAATGATACAGTGCCACATCGCAAACGGACTGTATACTACAGTCTGCAATAGCATAGAGTTCATACTACTGTAAGCCAAGCTATTACAGTACATAGTGGCACCGTGGAGCGTGTGTACTGTAGTACTGTACAGTGTACAGTACGTTTAATTTGCATTTTTCCACAGCCAGCGAGCGGTCATCGTCATCGTGTTGATGTACCACCCAAATGGAAATGTGTAGTAACGACGGCAGTAAATTTTCTTCTAGGCTCTATTGCACTATTTAACAGGAAAGTTAAATGATAATGAACACTAGTCTATATATTGCAGTGTCTAGGCATCAACGTCTGTTTAGTATGAATGAACTATTAGTACAGAGTATCGTTTCGAGTAGTGCATTGGTTTACACTTGCAGAACTGTATACTGTAGGTCCGAATGGAGGACTGCAGAGATAAATTGGAGCAAGATAAATACTGTAGTAACAAGTGGATCAGGGATTGATTGTAATTTCACATCATACCATACACCTACATCTAACAGACCAAAGTCTGTATCTGTAGAGTAATCGATTTCGATAAGAACATCCTCATCACCTCCACATCATTATGGTCATGGCACTGAAACAATCAAGGCTTCAGTACTCCCAGTTATTAGTCTCGTCATTTCAAAGTCTGACTTGACGCCAGACAATGATCAAATAAGAACAAGTGTATCTCGTAATATCTTTAAGAATTTACTTATTATTACTGTAACTTTCTATATAACTACAACTTATAATCTATATTAATTAGCTTATCACAGTACTGAATAGATTCTATTCTAATGGCAACTACAGAAATAGTAACTTGCAACTCAACTATCAACTATGTTCTACGAATCGATTGACTGCTTATGAGTACAGTAGGAATAAACGTAAGCATATGTAGACGTTATCGAACGGGTGTTACTATACAAACAGTATAACAGTACAGTACTGTACTGTACAGTACTACAGTATATCGTACCTTAACCGGTACTTCTTCACCAGTATGGTAATAATTATTATAACTATTGGATGTTGAATGAGTGCTCACAGCAAGACACTATCCAGTGCGTGCCCATTGCCTAAGCGCTCGTACAGTACAGTGTACTGTAATACTGTACAGTGTACAGTACAGTACTGTACACTGTATTCTGAGTTGAACTTTCACAGCACTGTACTGTACTGTACTGAGCAGAGCGGGGGTACTGTATCAGTCAGAAGTAGAAACGTACAAACATTGTAGTATACAGTAGAAAATACTGGGTACTGAATTGTGCAATGCGCTAACGTGCTGTACTCAGTGTCCAGTACTAGCATACGTCCATTTGTTTTTCTAACACGACGACCTTAGGAAGGTAACAGAA